TCATCAAACCGGGGGTCATATTTCATTATGTGTTCATTTTTATCTGAAGTTGTACCCATGGATGTATAAAGTAGAGTTCTACCGCAGTTATTCTCCGTGGGGACTTCCGGCAACAATCTTGATTCTGGGACGCTTCTGAGCCGTAACGCGCCGCGTGTGGTGGAATAGCACCCAATGGCCGCGATCGCCGTGAGCACCGCGGCGCAGCCGTAACCCCTAGGGGTCCTTCTCACTTCGGTTAAATGGAATCCTTGCTTCCCTCACTTGCGTCGTTTCCCTGCGTCTAGTCCCTCCCACCAGGGAAGCATGGAGAGACGCAAGGAAACCACGAGAAGCAGGGAAATTAGTTTTAAGAGCAATGGGACGTCCTTTCCTCCGAGCGTCACGTGAAGCGACGTCCGTTTGTGATGACGCCGCACAGCTGATCGTCTGACATTAGGCTTGTTTGACACAAGCGAGACCTGCGCAGACCTGCGCAGTTGCGATCAACGTCTTGCTAGTGCGTTGCATGATGGTTAGTCATTTTGTCCGACTTGCTCTGGAGGCCCGCCTACATGAGACGTTGAAATCTCGCGGGACAAAGACGCCCGCAGCCTTGAGAGCGAGGCGCGGCGGCGCAGTTCCTCTCCACGGGCTGCGGAAGCTAAATGCTTGATGGGAAACGACTCGCTGGTATCTCGAGCTGAGCGCTCATTGGTGGTTTTTACCACGTGCTGCTGATGAAACTCTCCAATTGGCTTGGCAAAAGTTTGTTGTTGTTTTGTGTCAGTTTTACGTCCCACTTTTCATCATTGTTCCACATTGTTCCAATGTTTATCATCATGAAATTAATATCTATATATGTTATACTATACTTGCACTGCTTACCGTTTTCATACTTTATATATCTTAGCATATTCATACACACTGTTCATACTGCTCACAGGCTGATATCTAGTGTATTCATACCCCTCACTGTTTATTCATCATTCAATTCATTCTATATTTTATGCTGTAGATTGTGTACATTACTTTTCACTTTACTGCTTGTTGCACCTGGTTAGAAGCTAAACTGCATTTCGTTGTCTCAGTACCTGTAATATGAGCAATAACAATAAAGTTGAATCTAATCTTGAGCAGGAACAAATGTATTTACTTAGTACATATCTGACATTAACGATTAAACACATGTGTGCATTCTTTATAAATGCAAACCGAGTCAAGCCGACTCCGGAGGTGGCGGTATGCACCTTAAAGTTGTTTGCAATCCGCCAAATAACCGAGAGAAGAAGAAGAAGGCGAAGAAGAAGATGAAGAAGAAGAAGCCGACTCGTAGCTGTCCGACTTCAGGCAAGCTTTTTGAGACCTCCCCCGGCTGCGATCGGCTACTCTCGTCTACTTTCGAGGCGAGCCGCAACACGTCTCAAACAAGCCTAGCAGCTCTGTCCCCGTTATTTCCACACACACCCCCGCCTCTGTTAGTACACATTTACTGACACAATCATCATATCATCTGTTGTAGACCCAAATAAATAAAATAAAATAAGAACTCATTCTCAAAAAAGATAAACGCCATTCTTAAAATGTATAAACGAACAATAGTTTGATTAATATTGATTAGAGTGCACAAAATAAATAAAATAATTGAGAGAAGAAAAAGAGTTATATTATCTATCAAAACCCAGTTAGATTAACATTCATTGGACTGCACACTTTGTGTGTTTGTTTGGATATGTAGCACATTAACATTTTAATAGCACTTAATGACTGACTGAATGGAAATGACAATAAATGAAAATGTAAAACGAAAAAAGCGATCATGAAAATGTTTCCAAAAAATGAATAAAATGATTTTTGACCACTTTGTTGTTCAGATATATCACATATTTGTAACTAAATGATACATTAATTGCAACAAAACACGGTATATAAACTGAGGAGTGACTCCCGTGAGGTTCATGTATTTTCTTCACTCCGCTGGGAAACTGCTCTCATGTCAAGAAGCATCAGATCAGTCATGCGCTCTATCGTCCAATCAGTGAGCGATACACAGTAAGGGGGCGGCGCGAGTGTCTGAGGATTTCATCGAAGGATGGTCTGGTGGTTCCTCGCTTATAGCTCCTCCATTATCGCTCCTCGGTCCTCGATCCTCAGGCAGAAATAAGGCCATTGGGACGCTACTCAAGATGGCGCAGACAAATCAACTTCCGGTGAGACCGAGACCGATGAGCGAGGAAATGAAAAATAAGAGAAGTGAGAAGGGGCCCGGGTCCGTCTGCGTCGCGTAACGGCTGCGCCGCGGTTTTGGTCCGGCCTCCTCTGGCGTCATACCCTACCGGGCGCGTTTCAGAAGCATTTCAGAAGCGGAGCGGCTCGCAGTTTCAGTTGATTTGAGCATATTTCCTGGACAGACTACTTTGTACAGACAAAGTTAATAATAATTGTAATATCCCAGTTATAAACGACATGAATCAAAGATGTGTTGCTGTATTTTAGTGGTAAAACCATCATAATTATTCTATATATAATTTACACAGTGCCTGTAAACCGGAGGAGAACGCTGGCATTTCTCCTCCTACTTGAACGACTACGGAGGGATAGGGTCTGCAAAATGAGTTTGTGTGTGTGTATATTAGTGCTGTAGCGATGGCGTCGCCACCATAGACTGTATATATGGTCGCCACACACACGTGGGCAATCGCACTTCTAACACAATGGAGACTGAAACGGCTACCAACTCCTCCTCACAGGATTGCGCACGAAGCCCTCAAACGAAAACATCTCGCCCTAGGTCTTCAAAAGCATGGGAATATTTTAAAGTTAGTCCAAAACGCAAAGATATTTATATATTTATATCTCACTGAGACTGCTGCTTGACCGGAAGCAGCAGCTAGCTGTGGTGGCAACCATTAGTAGCTAGCATTTGCTCTCCGATTTTTACATAAAAATGGAATTATGGATTATAAATGCAATCATTTTTTTATACATAGACGTTAAAAACCTATGGATTAACCGATTCAGCCGCGTTTCTCATTTTAATGCCATTGAACACGTATTTTTATCAGATTTACAGCTACGGCGGTGAGACGATCTCCCTAGAAGCTCTGTGAAGGTACGTGTTGTGATGACTGTATTTGCTTCCCCTGTCGCGAGTCCGGATCACTCAGTGATGATACTATGTACCTACATAATCTGTGGAGTCTCAGCTTTAATCGGATATCTTGTATGTGCAGCTACGATAAGTAATAAGGGTACTTTTATCTTGAGATCTGTGCCAATGTCCGTTAGCATTTTTCGCTCAGGGGTCATTTAGATGCTTCTTATGAGACTTGTGTTTTGTTTTGTTAAACATGGTTTGTATCGTCAGTTAGCTGAGATTATTTCCGTTAATCTGGTATAACACATTAATAGGTTCTTAAATATTAAGATCCCCTGAGACACAGTATCGTGAAAAAAAAATATTTTACATTACGTTTTTTTTACATTACGTTTTTTATGAATTGACAGAAAAATAATCGTTCGATTAGTCGACTAATCGATCAAATAATCGCCCGATTAATCGTTTTCAAAATAATCGTTTCCCCCCAGCACTAGTGTATATATATGCTCTGAACGTTCCACTTCCTGCCTGCCCGACATTACCTTACGGCTGCGTCGCGTCGAAAAGTAGACTTCAATCCCATTTCGAGCGGAGCCCAGCGGCGAGACGCTTCTGGGACGCTTCGCAGCGCTTCTCTAAAATTAGGATGAATGCTATTTTTGTCGCGGCGCAGCCATAAGGTAAAGTCGGGCAGGCAGCCCCCCCCCCTCGCAGGAAGTGGAAAGGTGAGCATCCGGGCCAGGCCCATCCCCCACATATACTAATTTAGCAGACCCCACAACACCTCCACTACGAAACGCACCATGGACGACGACGGTTTACAGGCATTGTAAATGATATATATATAGAATAATTATGATGATGAATGCATATTTGTTTACCACTAAAATACAGCAACACATCTTTGATTCATGTCGTTTATAACTGGAATATTACAATTATTATTAACTGTGTCTGTTCTACAACACAACAAAATAGGAAATAACAACAATAAACACGATTTAAACAGACACAAACATAAACTATTTAACTACGTATAGCCTACTTACTTGTAGAAGTACAAATGTCCAGGAAATATTCCAAAATCAACAACAACTGCGAGGCTGCACACACGACGCTCCGCTTCCGCAACGTTTTGAAACGCGTCTGGTGTGTGTTGTCGCAGGAGGAGGTCGCAGCGTGGCGCAGCCGCAACGTAACGCGGCGCAGACGCTCCTGGTGTGTTTTGGGGGTTAGTCAATGTAAGGTCCCCTGAAGTGATGTATAGGCCTACATGGTATGTGTGTGTGTGTAAAATAAGTATTTCTATTGAAGGCATAAGGGGGAATAAACTCATTATTTGAAATGAACACACACACACACGCACACACAGAGTATGGAAGAAGCTTCTGCTGGCCTGTCTACACACAGTTAATAAGTCTGTGTGATGGATGAATGGAGAAAAGCAGCTCTCATCTCTGTAAACCGTTCACTGTCTCATTGTCTCACTGTCTCACAGCCTACATGTTGTTTCTCTCTGTCTTTTGTCTATATTTCATTGACTAACTTCTTTATTATTTCTCATTAACCCCCATCTCTCTCCTCTATAATTTAAGAATTTCTTCATGCTTCATTTTCAGGTTAATATTAGTATGTAATGTTTCTACTGTGACATGTCTTCACTCTTTAATGTTCAAAAAGCTCTTTATTTTCCTCATTCAGGTGCTGCAGCACCTCTTTCCACCCTCTGTCTGAAACCAGAGCCCAGTCTGCTCTGATTGGTTAGCTGGCCGGCTCTGTTGTGATTGGTCTACCTCTTAGAGATGCCCCGCCCCTTAGCCTATCACGTAAAATGTGTTGGACTGCTAGCCAATAGAAGTGCTAGTATAGTGATGTCACTTTGTTACGGAAGTAAACAAAGGAAGAAAGACCAGGGAAAACATTTTTTATTTCACTTAATTTTAATTTAATCAACTCTCCTTTTTTTGCACTTTCACTACTAAAACTTTCTGCACATGGCTTTTTACACTACACCACTTTAGATTCAAGAATTATGTCCAATAACCCACAATGTTTAATACTTAATTCATGCATTTCATTATTCAATATTAATGTCTTATTATACACAGGTCCAACACAATGAAGCCCCGACCACACTGAGAACCAATCTGCTGCAGGGGAAAAACCCATAAGCAACTAAATATAGTCGTCGATATATGAACAATATAATGTGTCTTAAGGCAAAAAACAACAACAACAAAAGGACAAATGTTAGGCGTCTTCGTTTCCCCTCAGGAGTTTTTAAAAGGCATTCTGGGAAAGTGATTTTACAAAATGATGCACCAGTTGAATGAAGGCAAAAGAGAAGTCCCCCCTGTCTTCTAAAAAGTATATGTTCCTATACAACGAAGCTGCACTCTCTTTTAAAAAAACGAAAAAGAAAAAAAAGAAATCAGTACAAAACTTCAGACAACAAAACTACTTCTCAGGTTTGGTAAAAAAAAAATCATGTTTTGGCTTAAAATGTCAACTGTATGTTTGTTTTATTTATAAAATGTAAATGTAGAAGAAGTAATTGTTGAGTTTTGGTTACAGTCTTGTGTTCAGTTGCATGGAAACTTAATTTTTAGGAGACCGAGATCCTTTAATGCACATAATGGTTGACTACTGAATGTTGATCAATAGTAGAATCTCCCTCAGTGTGCAGAAATAAAAGTATTTTATTATTATTTTATGACTATTGTGTCAATATGTTTCTGCACTGTATATTTCTGTGCATTTAGAGATTAAGAGGCTTAGATTCTGAGACGTGAAGCTCAGAAGATCTGAAAAAGAAATCTCACCTGACTTTCTCTGACTCTTCAGATATGTTTCTTTTATATCGAAACTAAATATGAAAAGTTCAAAAAGTTATTCTCTTAAAGGTTGCGGTCCCATCTCCACACTGTGTTCAGCATCTCAGTGTCCGCACTCCATACGCTGGGAAACCTTTTATCATAATGCAGAATTACATTTTATCCAGAGAAGATGAACAAGTGACATTTCCTTACCTTGCTTTAAGTTTCCTCGGACAGAAAGTAAATCCTATTGTTGCCTCACATTATAATGTAAGATAACGGTAAGCTATAACCAGCAACAGATGTTCAGCTGAGCTTCTGATGAATCAGAAACAACCTCCATTGTTTTAAACAATTTTCCTCCAATCTTCCCAATTTCCCCATTCTGTATATGATTATGACCAAGATTCAAAAAGTCCAAAGTTCTCAAAATGTCCCACAAATGCATATTTATCTCAGTTTGCACCAAATAGTGTCTCTTAATGTCCATTTCAGTCTTTTCATTTGAGTTTGTATGCAATTGTAGTAGATGTACCTTCCAGATCCAGACTCTAAGGCTTCTCCTTTAAGTACCTGTTCATCCTGATTTCTGTGATATTTTTGCCACTTATTCTATGTAACGTAAACTGTCCTTTTTTTTGGGGGACATTTTAGGCATCTCCTGCTGCACTTGTCCTTATACTCCATCCTCTTGTTAACTTGTATATTCCCTTTTATTCTCCCGTTTGTAATTCCACTTGTAGTCAGTATCAAAGACAGTTCATGGAACAGTTTTTAGCAGATCTTTCCCGTACACCAAAATGTTCAACGTTTTAAATCTCCTCTTTAAATCCAACCCTGTCAAGTCTTCTTTCTCTCTTCCAGCTCATATACAGTTCAAGCTTAGATATCATATTTCCCAGTTTGTATCGTCAGTATATTCCTTCTTAATTCCTCCCTCTGTCCTCCGGTCACACCGTGGTCACGGAGAGAAGAGGGTTGTATATTTTCTTCCCGTCCGGAGACCTGGAGCCGTGAGCCAGCAGCTCCTGGATGGTGATCCAGTTGTCGAGGATTCGCCGGTTCCTCTTCTTGGTGATCTTCTTCTGGCTCAGTAACAGGATGTTGTTGCAGGGGGAGTCCTGACGGGCGTGCAGCGGCGAGGAATGAAGTTCTGTCGATGAGGCGTCCCTGGATACAAAAAAACAAAACAAAATATTTAGATTTCTTTAGCTGTCATTGTTTTTGCACATTGAGTATGCATATTACCCTGGAGTCCTGCAAGACTATATTGCTTTAATCTTATGCACTCAAGATGGCTCTTATCATTTGGGCAAACCTGATATACCTTATCTTCACATTTAAATGGATACTTTGCACATTTGTATAATGTTTATAGTATCCAGAAGCAGTATTTTGGTCTGTGACTTTTTTCTTTGTATTTATTTATTGTGTATTCTATAAATAATCCATATATACATTTATTATTATTATTTCTTAATTCACGTTGAATGCCTTATAACCTGCTGCTGTCCAAAATATCAAAAATATGTATATCAGGGTTTCAGGAGCTCTGTGTTTTAGCCAAGTAGCTAAATGACTGACAGACATAACAGCACATACCAAATAATACAAACCCACAAATAACCTCCTTTGTTTTTGCTTGCATTTGTTTACATAATGCATTTCCTTTGGTCAAAGTTATGCAATCTTTGCTACATATTCCAGCTGTGAGCAAGGACTCCGTTTACAAGTCGTTTTACTGCCTGAGAAACTCTGAGTGAACCAGTGAACTTTTTGTAGTAGGATTCAGCCTTAAGCTTGGTTTGATTTTTTGACAGCTTGTAAAATATGACAGCCTTTCATCTTCCCCCAGTGAACTACTTTATGCAAGCTTCAAACGTCATGCAGCCTCAGATAAAAAGATAGAAATGTGTGAAACATGTCACATAGTAATATGTCAGATAGCCCTTATTCTGAGCGCTGGCCCTTTAAGAGCTGCACTCACAGGTGTTGGAAATCAGTTGGTTCCCTGATTGTCTATCAGCTGCACCTGTTTGACAAACAATGATTCACTATTAGTGTCAGTGTTTCTGATGGATTCATGGTTTGGAATAAGAAGGAAGTTCCTAAATGTCACCCTGCATCCCGTCTCATCAGCAGAAGAAGAAGGTAAGAGGATTTCGTTGGTAATCTTGTGTGGTGAACACAGGGATTGTTAACTGACTGACAAACCACAAAGAAAATGATTTAAGGGTCCCTTTTCGCCCTCTGTCTGAAACCAGAGCCCAGTCTGCTCTGATTGGTTAACTGGCCGGGTTAGCGTTGTGATTGGACAACCGCTTATATATGTCCCGCCCCTTTGCCTATCACGTACAATGTGTTGGAGCGCTAGCCAATAGAAGCGAGTGTTACATAGTCATGTCAACATGTTCCAGAAGTAAACAAAGGAGTCCAATGGATGGTTTATTTCATGTACTCATTTAGTGTAACGCTATATTCTTCAATGTAAGGATAAGTACTATTTATGTGTTATCTTAAGTCCTTATTTTATTTAGTTTACTCAGTATCTGGCCTGTGCACTCTACCTGTCTCCTTTGAGGTATTCCAGCCGGCTCTGCATCATGAACTCTCGTCTCCGCCGGTACTCTCTGGCTCTCAGCATCTGCTGCTTCCTCTCCTCTTTACTCCAGTATCGGCCCTGTTGGAGCACAGTTTCAAACAAGTTTATCACAGGTGTAACGAGTGGTTCAGGCTTTTCTTTTATTCCCGTGTTTCCTGCAGACTGTACCTGCTTCATCTCACTGGCAGCGTCGTCGTCGGTGGTCATGCCGCTGCGCTCCTCTCTGATCTTCATGGCTCTGGCCTTCAGCAGGCGATCTCTGACCGGACGCTTGGCTACGTATCGAGTGCCGTCGCTCCGGACCTTTACCTGGAGGCACAGAGGACAGATCGTCGTGGTCAGAAGTCATGCTTCAAGCAAGCATTCAGAGGCTGAGCCATATGTTGTCGTAAAAGTTGTTGTGCCGGAAGATTTCTAGCTGCTTTAAAGGTCACCTATTATACTGTTTTTCATCAATATATTATAGGTCTCAGATACAAAACATGTCTCTGAAGTGTTTTGGCTCGAAATACCAAACAGATCATTAGCCGCTTTCACACCAAGTACTTTGCCGTACTTAGTGCCCAGCACTTAGTTCCCAGCACTTAGTACCCCCATGGAACTAAGTACAGATCGCGTTCACACTGGAATAACTTCTCTGAGGGAAGATTACGCAAATGAAGCCGCTGACGTCACTTCTTCTTCTTCTGCTTTGGGTTTACTGGCAGGCCGCAAACCACTTCACGGCGTATACTGCCACCCGAAGTCCCCGGCCGGAAGTCCCCGGAGTTGGGGACTGGCTTCAGTAGAAGCTGCTGGGACTCCCAGCAGTTTCTACTGAAGCCTTCCGAGTAAATCGCCAGAACACCGACACCTCCTCATCTCCACCGCTCCCATGTTTTTTTTTGTGTTTCCATAAGTTAGTCTCTCTGCGTTTCTGCGCTGGGCTAATGCTAATAATGCTAATGCCAGAAAATACAATGGCGGCTTCAAAACATTTTTTCCGAGTTTTCCGGGGCGTGGTTTGCAATTCGCCCAGCCAATCAGAAATTGGTACTTTTTTCTCCCCAGGATAGTCCCACCTCTCTAGCAGGCACTAAATAAGGGGGTAAAAGTTCTCTGAACTAAGTTCTCTTTTTGGTGTGAACGCAAAATTCCAGGCACTATCCGAACTAAACGGGAAAAGTACGGGTAAAAGTACTTCGGTGTGAAAGCGCCTATTGTAGGATCTCTGATCAGCTCATTTTCAGACAGGTTTTTATATAAATGGATCAGGACAAAAAGTGAGTCTTTTTTTTTTTTCCGGACACTTTCAGAATCTCTTTACACAGAGGGGACACATGTTGATTTATAAGAGACATGAGAAAGTGGATTTTGCATAATAGGTGACCTTTAATGCTAAAGGCCTTCTAACGTACATTTGACCTGGGATGTAAGTAAGTAATCCTTCAAAGGAGGAAGGCGACTCAAGATGAAACGCTAATATCATCATCACACCCTTTACCTTCCACTCCATGCGCTGTGGTGAGGCAGTCGGCGATGAGTGCGTCATCCCGAGCGGTAGAGCGAGTCCTAACCGCGAGGCGCGCGTGTATCGGTCCTCCAGACCACAGGGGGCGCTGTTCACACTCCTGGGGCTGCCGGGGCCGCTGCTGCCCGTCCCCATCCCCCTCTCCTCCACCCTCGCTCTGTCCCTCCCCCGGTCCAGAGGCTCCACCAGGCCCTCGGAGGGGAGCGTCATGCAGCTCTGGTAGCGTTCCAGAGGTTTGTGCTGGCTCTGGTGTCTCCTGGTGAAATACGGACTGGACTCTGCACTTCCTCCTCCTGTAGTGCCACCTGCATGATAACAATATAATCAGCCGTCAAAATGTATCATCAACAATAAAAAAAAGTATTCTTGTTTACAGAAAATTTGGCTCAACATTGACAAACTAAAAGTCAAATTAGTTTAGCTGCATTCACATGATTTGCAATCATTAAGTGTAATCTATATGGTGACCTTCTCTGCTAGCTTGTGCCGCTACATGCTGATTGATTGAGCATTGAAAGGTCAGCGGTAAACAAAGTCAAAGTTTAAACAATTTTAACTTCGAACGCAGCGCTCGGCGTCAACTTCGATCAGTTAAACGGTATTCATTATGAGTACCCCATCCAGGGAAGTCATAGTAATTTGCACTCCAAACAGCTAATGTAAGTACAGAAGTATGTGCATTTAGACACAGCGCAGAGTAAACTGCAGGAGGATGAATTGTGTACCTGCTCTGGAGCCCTGCCCTCCGTCAGCCACGCCTCTTCGTGAAGAAGACCCCGCCTCTCTGGTCAGAGACCTGATTACGGCAACAAACCCAGAAAAATATCCAATGTTATTAAAAAATAACATACAATAATGACTAGTTTATCATATAAAAAAAATATATACTGTAGGAGTAGTTTAGAAAGTTTAACGATATTTGTACAAAGCTGAAAATGTACCTGAACTTGGAGGGCGTGGAGGGGGTGGAGCTTGAACCGTTTGCCACGTTGCCATTGGCTGTTTCGATCTTCCTGTATGTGCTGGGGGAGAAGGAGCCGCTGAGGTTGGAGTGACGTCGCTCTCTGTCTCTCTCCCTCCTGTGGCGCCGCGGGGTGAGGGGGGAGTTCAGAGGAGGGAGGCGGCTGAGGGGGAGGAGAGGAGGCGGAGACATCAGTCGTCTTCCTCTATTATCTTCCTCTTCCTGGAGAGGCGGGATCTGCTCGGTGCTGACCAATGGCGTGCTGCGGCAGCTCTCCCCCCCGGTGTTGTAGGCGCTCGTGCTGTCTTTGTCGTCCGACCGCTCTCGCTCAGGAAGCTCGTTGATGGCCGACAACTCGTGATGATGAGGGTCCTTATCTTCCTCATTGTCTTCATCCATACCTACAAGTAAAGAATTGTTGTATTATTTTCTTTATTGAGGTTAAACGTCTAAAAGGAAAAGTGTAACTGGGGAATCATAAAGAAATAAAACGGAACAATGAACTCAAACTGCCGCTGAAGCACTAGAAAGTGAGTCTTACGCATAGATTGACCTTAATTAGCTTAGGCAATTCAAAGTACTTTACATCATCATTACCACAGAAAGGAACACAATAAATAAACATAATGGAATAACAGATTCATAAAAACCATGCATAAAAGAGATACAGAATAGTTTAAAAACAACATTGTAAATACGGTAGGTGTTAAAACAAGTTAAAGGACTTCTGGGGAAGCAGCTGAAAAAAGTAGTGTTTTTTTGTACATTTTAATTGCTAAATAACATAAATCAGTATAAAGCTCCAACAACAGCAATCCCCCAACTTTACTTTTGGTTTGTTTCAAATATTCCCGCGTCACGGTTACCTGTGTCCGGGGGTCCGGGTCGCCCCACCGTCTCCTCCTCCATCATCCAGGCCTTCAAACACCTCTCTCTGAGCTGCTGCATCTTCTGCGCTCGCAGGATGTTTCGGCACTTGAACTCCAGGTGGCGCAACTCTTCCTCGATCAGCGCCATCTCGTGCTCGCTTAAAGTCGGGTTGCAGTTGACGTCCACCACCACCGAAGAAGAAGCTTCCTCCTCTGCGTCTTTTCTCTCTTCCTGGTTGTTCAGCGCTTCTCTGTTGTCCTCGCGTTCGTTTTTCACAGCTTCTCTTTGCTGTTTTTCGTTCTGTTTCTCGTACTGGCACTTGATCTCCAGCAGCTCCTGGTAGCGCTGGCACTCTTCCTCCGTCAGGCCCGGCATCATCATCGTCAGAGGAGGCTGAAGGTGGTGGAGGTGGTAGTGCTAAAGGGCAAAGGTCAAAGGAGGTCAGACACAAAAATCTGTCATAGAAAGTCCTTCATAACTTTCCGTATTTATAATAATTTAAATCTAGATTTAATTTTTTCCTGTAAAACTGTTCTGATAACAAGCCATTGATTTTGATAGCATGAAGGGCACTCAAGGTTACTTGGCTGAATCTTATAGGATAAGTGTATCACTTAGTGTAACTTCCAAACGTTATAAAAGTTGAAACTCTGAGATCGAGACCAACTTTATAGACGTATGTACATTTTGAAAGTTGTCTTTGACCGCTTAAAATGGAAGAGACCTCCTGTTAAGCTTTGTCTGCTTCCAATTCTTTCCTACCCTAAGATTCGCTCACTTTTTGTCCTGATCCATTTATATAGTAACCTGTCTGAAAATGAGCTGATTAGTTTTTGTCCACTTTATGATGTCATAACGATTTTCGAGTGGCTCCGTATTTTCATCTAAAGTAACAGACAGAGAATCAGCACTTTGGAAACAGGGCTGAAACAGAGGGGATTATGGGTAATGCTGCAATGATCTGTTTGGTGTTTCGAGCCAAACACTTCAGAGACATGTTTTGTATATATCTGAGACCTATAATATATTGATGAAAAACAGAATAATAGGGGACCTTTAAGTGAATACATTCAGTGTTGGTTTGGCCGTTATCATGGGATAAAAGGACAAAATGTTTGTAGCCTTTATTTAACCAAATGCAGACAGTGAAATGGATCCTCTGGAATGGTGGCAAAACCATGATGGAAACTTTCCAAGGGTTAGCCAATTAGCTAGAAAGTATCTCTGCATTCCGGCAACTAGTGCTCCCTCAGAGAGAGTGTTCAGCACTGGTGGCAATATTGTCACATGCCAAAGGGCAACTCTCAAGCCAGAGAAAGTTGACAAACTGATTTTCCTGGCAAAAAAATCTGTGATTGTGTCATACAACAAGAAAAGTAAAACAAGTTTTAAAAAAAGAAAACTATACAATGTGAAGACATGCTCTAAAGCTGTCTAGTCAGGATTCAGACAGTATTGCACTTTATTTATTGTCTTGTTTGATTCTGTTGGCTTATATTTTATTTTATCAATAAGGTATTTATATAGTTTTTCCCTTCAGTTATGCTAAAGTATTTTATTGTACTTCAAGTCTAAAGTTTACATTTTAATTGTTTGGCACTGACTTTTCCTCATTGATGTTTTATTTTAATTTTATTTTGTATTGTTTGTAGCCTTTATTTAACCAGGTGAAGCCCCTTGAGATCAAAAGATCTATTTTTCAAGGGTGACCTGCAGGACATTAGTTACACATGTAACATAAAAACAACAGAACAACAATAAGGATGACATATAACATAATGTACAGGGTACAGTTTACAAACTCTATTTACAGAGACAGGTACCATGAGTATCAAACAGCATGTCACCCAGCTGAGTTTTAAAATGATGCAGGGGAACCAAAGTGCTCAGTTTTAAACATGTTTGCAGACTGTTCCAATTTAGTGGAGCTGCACAACTAAAAGCTTTCTTCCCTAAGACAGTCAGCACTTGGCACATTTAATAAAACAACATCATGAGATGTAAAATATACTATGCTTTAGCAGGACCTCCTTTTACCTTGTGGTGGTGGTGGTGGGGGCTGTACGCTGCTCCTCCTGTTCCTCCTCCAGACGTCCAGTCCAGGCCGGGCAGGGAGTCGGAGCTGAGCTGCAGGTCTCTCAGGTGGAGGAAGGGAGGGGTGGAGTCTCCTCTCCCAGGGCTGGGCCCGAGGCCGGGGCTGGGTCGGGGACTTGGCCTGGGGATAGAAAAGGTACAAGGTGAGTTCTATTTTTTCTTTACTGCTTTTTTACACATGCTCTCCCAGTACAGGTTAGTTCTGTTAGCGATGCTTGCTAATGTAAAGACAATATTACGTCCAAAACACGACGTGCATTGTTTCTGATAGCAACGTTTCTGATAGTGCCGTGGGTCCACATTTCCGATATTACGTCATATTGGACGTAACTCTGGATGAGCTCCGTTTTACCCCCGTTTTTAGAGATTTGTATTAAGACAAAAAAAAGTACATTTTGAGTGATAAGAGAACTGTAAGTAAAAGTAGAAGGCTACAGGGACTATCACATAATTAGGGAATTCAAAGTGCATTAAACAGCGAACAGAATACGCATTTACAAAAAGAAAACAGGTATAAAATACAATAATTAAATGTAAATATATTTTGTTGCTCTCCTACCGGGGGCTGGGTCGAGGACTCGGCCTGGGGATAGAAAAGGGGGGGGGGGGGTGTTATTCTTTGTTTTACTTAAGTTAAAGTAGAAGGCCACAGGGTACACTGAAAAACTAATACTTCTAATACTGAAAATCACATAACGTGGTTAGTCGAAAGCAATAATATTATGATGGTTGTTTTCAGAACATTTGGAAAACTCTCTTGTATTTTAATCATCCTTCAGTTGGGGGGGGGGGGGGGGGTCCTACCGGGGGCTGAGTCCGGGTCTGAACTTGCGGGTGCTGCCGGGCGTGTTGGTGGTGTTGGTGTTGGGGGCGCTGGTTTGATCTCCCAGCAGATCGTGTTCAGACTCGTAGCGCGTGCTGTCGTCGGTGCGGCCCACCCCGCTGTCCAGCTCCTGGCTGTGGCTCAGCAGGGGGGCCAGGCTCAGCAGGGGGGGGAGGGGAGGAGGAGGGTCTCTGTTCTCCCCCCTCTCTCCTTCCTCTTCATCCTCTTCCTCCTCCACGGCAACATCACCACCTACACCTTCTCCTCCTCCCCCTCCTCCCCGGCAGAGGCGGTAATATCCAGAGGGAAGGGGGGATGTGACGGAGGTGGTTCGGGGGTTTTGGTGGAAGCCCCCCACCTCCAGAGTCAGATCCATTTCCTCCTCTGGACCAACAGGGTTATCATTCTGGAAGGACACAGAGGAAGTTAGTGTTTAAATCAAATCCAAAAGTACATTTTTCCATCATTTTCACAACTATTTAAGGCGAGACACGGCAGGCAAAAACATCGTTTTTCAAGTACAGGTCAATTTTGAGATTGTGTGCTATTTTGATTCCATAACATGTTGTCTTTCAGGCTTTTGGAAGGAAAACGTACAAAATACACATTTAAGTGTTTATTTTACTATAGTTTGTCTATTTGCGTCTGTAGATTTCTCCTAAATTCACCAAAAGTTAGCATTCTAATGTAACATAAAGTACCGCGACCGCTGTGTGCACCATGTCAACAGAGGTATCGCTGGAAAGCTCCGTCTCTCCTGCACAAACTCATCGGATCCAAATATGGTCATTTCCTTTGTATCAGCAACCAATCGTGAAAGCACAAAGGGGTCTTAAACCAAGAAACGAAATCTCATTGGCTGGTGTCAATTTCTGACAACGTGATTCGTTCAGATGCGTCACGTGGTGTGCTAAAACACTTCCTGGTTAGCTTTCAGCTAGAAATTGAAATCTCAAAATGCCAAAAGAACGGCGAAAAAAACGTTCACAGAGAAGACGACAACAATTGTCACTTGCACGAAGCAAGGTTATACAAAAAAGAAATGACCCTGAACATGAAATACCTTCACGGAGTGCTTCGATAAGCAAGCTGTCATTCAAAGAACAGGAGGGTTTAGCTAGCGCCTCACTGCAATCTTTAAAGGTCGTTTTCTCAAAATGAGTTTTTTCTCCTACTCTGAGTTCGAAATTTCAACTTCAGTAGCACGTACATACACCAAACCTTCCAGTTATATTCCTATCAATATTATGAAGGCTTTTACAGAAGGGTTTGTTCATATATAATTCATAGCCTGAATTATACAACATTGTATACCTAAAAACATGGCGAAAATTGATATTTTAGGGCTGTTGACAGTATTTTCTGATTTATGGAGTGATAAAAAGAGATATCCAATATCCCTTCTGTAAAAGCCTTAGATACTAATATGACTACAAAATGAAACAATAATTTTGAATCTGGCTATATCCAAAGTTCAGATTTCGATTCCTGAAATGTGTTAAAATATGTGCATATTTAATGAGATAATGGATAATTTGCATATTTAAACATGCTATTTCAGAAAACTTGTAATACAAAAGACAATTGCCTTATTGTAAGTAATTAACTGGAGACATTTCTAGCTGATACCTTTAAGTTAAAAAAACTACCCTATTCACCTGGGGTGTCTCGCCTTAATTAATAAAAGGCTGAAATCATGTAAAGGAATGAAAAACAGCCTGGTTAAAAATACCTGTTAAGGTTATATTAATTAATATTAAAATGATTGGTCTGCAAATGCAATATATTAACACAATTCCATTGAAAATAAAAACTTTACATAACATTATTTTTCGGGCTTTTTGCTTTCTGGCTGTCTTTAATTAAGGCTCCTCCCCCATGACTTCATCATTAGGTTTTTGCTTAGTCAATAAAACATCCATCATCTCCCAACAAAGAGATACACACACACACACACACACACACACACACACACACAGAGCACATTCGTCAGTTGCATGCTATGCGTGGGTGTGTTTAACTGACATCTATGAATATGCCGTTGCGCAGTTCCTCTTCCGTCAGCACATTTGGACACACACTCTCTGGGAGCTGCTGTCACACACATGAACATTTATCATGGCTGTCTGTGTATGATAACACACAGAGCACACACACACAGAAACCCCCTCTCGAGGGAAATTTGGATTTTAGCCTTTGCAGACCATTTTCAATGAACAAAAACCTATACAACACACTACAGTAAAGGGACAACCCCAACACATATAACATTACTTAAATACACTCTAAACTGAACCTCTGTGCCCAGTTTGTGCTTCAAAATCAACATTACACTCGGTGGGCAGATAATAAATAAATGGTAATTGTAGTAAACCTCTGGTGTAATGGTGGCATTTCGAGAAATATCATGAGGTCACCAAAGTCAATTTTCAGAGTGTGAGTGTTTTAGTAAATGTTTGTTTACAGCATTGGGTAAAGAGATGCCATCACTTGGAAATGTTACGTTTGTGGTAATTGTTATTCTGGTGGAAAGGTCACCTTATCTCCACAATCGATCAATATTTGAAGCAGAGAAACACATTTCCTGCTAACCCTGATGTTACAGATAACAAAAGGGCAGTCGGACGTAAACACATATTGTTCAGGACTGAGCGCACTGTGAAATAAACTGTGGCTTTATGAGATCTTATGAGCAGCAGCACGAGGGAAAGTAGGTTAGTAAAGCAGGCTGCAGGTGAGTGATGAAACACTGAAGTTATAGATGTGACGACTATTCCTGGACTCGAAGATGAAGACATCCATTCTCTCAGAAAAGGATCCACTAGTGAAGCGCTTTGTTTCAGCAATCATGTTATTATTTAACAGTATCATAAAACGCTATTAACACAGTCCAACCTTTCTTTATTTTATAATTTCTTTATCAAATATTGGTTGTTGGTTTGTTTCAATTAGTCAAATAAGTGCGCTACTTTTTCTTATATTTTCATTATTTGAATATCTTTCTTTTAATGTTTTAAAATAAATGTTTTATGGAACATGATAATTATAGTAATGCAGGTATCTATACAAAAAACAGCTTTCTAAAAATAACATTAAATTCCTCAAGTCATTCATCAATTTCCAACATGGATAGTGAAAGGAGAGATGCACTTTCTGAAATTATCAAGATTTGTATCTCGTCGCGATTACCCCTGTTTTCCATTTTTTCCAGAGTTACGTAACATCCTGTTATCAATAGCTGTCAAGTATCACAGCAGTAGTTTAGAAAATGATTATTAATGTCAAAAATGCACTTGAAATGTCTTTTAATTGAGAGCTTATTAGTGTCTTTAACCCTCCTGCATGCTCATATCCACTAAAATGATGTCCGATCTTTGCAGCCTTTACCTGTAACTTCAGTCTATGTGTTTACCTGCGTGTGTAAAACCTGAGCATTGATTTTTGAGATGATGGTTTAATGTTTTGTTGTCTAACGTCACCTCTATGTCCGGCCTGGCCAGCAGCAGGGAGAAGTTGATGCTGTCCTCTCGGGTCAAAATGGCCACGGCCTCCTCTCTGTTCTGAATATCCACTCCGTTAATCTAGAGGGGGAAAAGATTGGTTATTTTCATTCACAGTAAAAGTCAGATCATATACAATGTGAGGCTTTTACACACAGCAGCTCCTCGGCGCTGCTAATAGCTGTGTGAACTAATTCTTATTGGGTTATTTGTGTAAAGTAATCACATTATTTGAAATCTCAATTGTTACTTTCTCGCCTGAACAAGTAGTAAAACTAGATTGCATTTTTTTGAATAGCTTAAAACCAGTTTATTTTGGCAAGTACAGGTTGATAAAGCTGATGACACAAAGTATTCAGTCGAATAATACGGTGAATATAGAGAATAAGAAATGAAAATCCTTCACCGGTTATTGTTGAGAAGAAATATGTGGACAAGTAACTTTTTTCTATTTTACAATGCAAACGACTGCTTTTTTTCCTTATTTACCCAATGAATTACGTAACATAACTTATTAATTCATCTGTCACATAATTAGAATCAGAATTATAACTTTATCTCAGAGGGTAACATTTTGCCAACATCAATATATAACAATATGAATGTAAACCTGCGCATATCAGTATTTATCAAGATATTAATGCTGAAAACCAGATTGTATCTTGCAATATACTATGTAATACAGTAACAACCTTAAGCAAATTAGTATTTCAGATAATAAACCATGTATGCACGTTGTCACGGGTGAATATAACGTGTGTAGGGACAGGTATGTTCTCGCAGGGAGAAACCACACATCTGTCACAGCGGCTTTTATCACCGTGGTGACAGCTGTCATGGGAACAACCATTCATCCCCTGCCCGGTAACCATGGCGATGCCAGGTGCAGCTGGTCTATTCTTGTTACATCCCAGCACGTTTCCCCTTTTTCCCTGACAGTTTCCATGGGGGTCTTCATTCGGGGGGTCAGAGGATAATGAGTGCAGAAATGTCACAAAGGTAATTGTATTCACGCTCGTTTTTCAAACTCTCTCAGAGCGAGCCGTCAACATGTGGGGGTGTCGCTTCAGAGCAGAAACAAAACATTGAAATAACAGGAAATAAAGAAAGGTCAAGGTCTTAATTAAACTCCCACTGATGGTTCCTCTTACAAAGAACAACTGGTGCGATGTACGGCACTTTGAAACACAATCCTCCAAATACAAACTTAAAATGTATCTCTGTGTTATGTTGGATAATGAAAAATGACCAACAAAAAGGACGTAGGTAGTATAAAGAAAATGAGTAATGAATGTACCTAAATGTTTCTATTGTCACATCCTTTTATAATGTTTCTTCCAAATAGTATCCCTCAAGCTCTACATGCTTCATTTGGGAGATTTGTAATCCTGTCCACCCTAATTATAATATAGTATCGCAATCTAATATAAAATGCTTTACTATCAAATAATGGTATTTGATAGTAAAGCATTTTATATCAAAAATATATTTGGAAGACTTTAAATTATTTTTAGTAACTTTTGAAGTGTGATATCTGTGTGCACGTTGACAAAAGACTGAAAATGTATCGGTAGTTCTTTTACAAAAAGACCAAGAGGCAGTCATATAACTTCAGTAACATAGTGACATCACTATGTAACACTCATGCTTCTATTAGCTAGCGCTCCAACACGATGTACTGAAAGGCTAAGGGGCGGGACATCTCTTAGCCGTTGACCAATCACAACAGAGCCAGCCAGCAAACCAATCAGAGCAGACTGGGCTCTGGTTTCAGACAGAGGGTGAAAAGAGGTGCTGCAGCACATTAAAGCATGGAGACATGTCCCAGTAGAGACACTACATACTGATATACACCTGAACATCAGCAGGAGAGGACTCTTTAAAGTAGAGACACTACATACTGATATACACCTGAACATCAGCAGGAGAGGACTCTTTAAAGTAGAGACACTACATACTGATATACACCTGAACATCAGCAGGAGAGGACTCTTTAAAGTAGAGACACTACATACTGATATACACCTGAACATCAGCTGGAGAGGACTCTTTAAAGTAGAGACACTACATACTGATATACACCTGAACATCAGCAGGAGAGGACTCTTTAAAGTAGAGACACTACATACTGATATACACCTGAACATCAGCAGGAGAGGACTCTTTAAAGTAGAGACACTACATACTGATATACACCTGAACATCAGCAGGAGAGGACTCTTTAAAGCAGAGACACTACATACTGATATACACCTGAACATCAGCAGGAGAGGACTCTTTAAAGTAGAGACACTACATACTGATATACACCTGAACATCAGCAGGAGAGGACTCTTTAAAGTAGAGACACTACATACTGATATACACCTGAACATCAGCTGGAGAGGACTCTTTAAAGTAGAGACACTACATACTGATATACACCTGAACATCAGCAGGAGAGGACTCTTTAAAGTAGAGACACTACATACTGATATACACCTGAACATCAGCAGGAGTGGACTCTTTAAAGTAGAGACACTACATACTGATATACACCTGAACATCAGCAGGAGAGGACTCTTTAAAGTAGAGACACTACATACTGATATACACCTGAACATCAGCAGGAGAGGACTCTTTAAAGTAGAGACACTACATACTGATATACACCTGAACATCAGCAGGAGAGGACTCTTTAAAGTAGAGACACTACATACTGATATACACCTGAACATCAGCTGGAGAGGACTCTTTAAAGTAGAGACACTACATACTGATATACACCTGAACATCAGCAGGAGTGGACTCTTTAAAGTAGAGACACTACATACTGATATACACCTGAACATCAGCAGGAGAGGACTCTTTAAAGTAGAGACACTACATACTGATATACACCTGAACATCAGCAGGAGAGGACTCTTTAAAGTAGAGACACTACATACTGATATACACCTGAACATCAGCAGGAGAGGACTCTTTAAAGTAGAGACACTACATACTGATATACACCTGAACATCAGCTGGAGAGGACTCTTTAAAGTAGAGACACTACATACTGATATACACCTGAACATCAGCAGGAGAGGACTCTTTAAAGTAGAGACACTACATACTGATATACACCTGAACATCAGCAGGAGAGGACTCTTTAAAGTAGAGACACTACATACTGATATACACCTGAACATCAGCAGGAGAGGACTCTTTAAAGTAGAGACACTACATACTGATATACACCTGAACATCAGCAGGAGAGGACTCTTTAAAGTAGAGACACTACATACTGATATACACCTGAACATCAGCAGGAGAGGACTCTTTAAAGTAGAGACACTACATACTGATATACACCTGAACATCAGCAGAATATGTCCCCTTTAAGTTGACATAAGTAAACCCCCCCCCCTCACCATTACGATGTCAGGAGCTTGTCAGCATGTGAGGTGTGTGAATATAGACTGGATCACTGCGGCAAGTTGATAGAAATATTGAATGCTGGATATTTTCTAACCCAGATAACAATGTGATCATATCTTTCTATAGTGTGACAGACAGAGCTGAGCGGAGGGGTGGGAACAGAGTGACACATTGTCTCTCTCTCTCTCTCTGTCTATTTTTAGGACAGCAGTAACTGGGCTGCTGACGGCTCTCTCTGATTGGTTGAAAGTGTCCCCGGGGGTCCCAGCTATACATTTACATAGTTTGATTGAAACTATTTCTAACCCCCATAGAGCCAGATCATTAAGCAGAGGACAAGTTTGTATTATCAGCCTGCAGGAAACTCGAGTTTACCCTGAAGGTCGACTTTTGATATTTATTTCATCAGTTATTGGCTTGAATTAACTTCGATGACTTACAATAACTTAATGTCTAAAGTTTATCATGAGGGAGAAGCTAAAAAGGAGTAATTGTTGTTAAAATAAAAACGGTTTGACCTCTGGGAGCACGAGTTAGCATGACAAATGACAGAAAATAAATCTGCTTTTTCATTTTTGTAATGTCATTGTGAGTTTATCTACAGCACAAGTTCTCTGTGCATCTCCGGACACTCTAACTTATCATAATATAATAAAAACTATAATGCTAATGTTCTGGTAATAGTTCATTTTGTAACTAACAAAGGTTTGATAAATAATATTAGATTTCAGGATTTATTTACAATTAGTTTTTTTGTTTTTCGTTGCATTAGACAACGAAAGATGTTTCTCAGACTTTAACATATTCCCAGTGCGATTCACAAGTTAAAATACACTTAAGACTTGAGTAAAATGTTGTATTTCATGGGAATTTGATTAAAAGTAAACGTGCATACCTGCAGGATTCGATCCCCCTCTCTGATGCGTCCGTTCTTTGCTGCTATGCTGTTTGGGTTTACCTAAAATTAAAGTGGAGAAGGATTAATATAAACAAATCACGTAGGAAATACATCGATAAATAAATGAACTCATGAATTAGGAAACAGATAAATGAATGATGGATGAATGAATCTACAGAAAGAGTAATGGGTTGAATGAATGATTCAAAGGATAATGAATAAAGTGATTAATGGATGCATGTTGTACATTTTAGAATAAAAATGTAGTCGTATCACCTTTTATGAGCTGTATCAATGCAAACATGTTTTCCAAACAAGTGAGAAATAAGTGAGTGAAAGGCTAAAAGAGTCAGTTGAGGGTAAATGAATCAATGAAGATTACTCACCTCTCCAACGTAAATCCCAAGGTCCTCCTCGTCGTCCGTCCTGTAGCAGACGGTCAGCCCGAGCTTCTCCTGCTGACTGGACTTGTACAGCTCCACCTCCTAGTTAGTAAAGAGTGGTTTATTAAGGGCTGCACTGGTCTTCAGGTGGGCTTCAAACATGGAAGTTAATAAGTGCGCTTCAGGAGAAAGGCGATGGTTAACGCTCGCTGACAACATGACTTCTCACAGTGCAAGTTAGCTGACACTTTTATCCAAAGTGACCGACAATAAGTACAATCAACCAAGAGAATACCATGGTCTCTGATGGAAGATGTGAAGATGTTCTGCCCTGATATTGATAAGGATGATCGATATGGCTTTTTGTGGAATTGTTCGTACTTAAAGAGACCCTTTCATTGGGTTTAGTGGTGGGGTTTCCCTTTCCTGTAGGGTCATATAGGTTGTTGTGCATGTCAATGGTCTGCAAAGGCTAAAATCCCTGTGTTGAATTCTGTAACATGACATCACTATGTAACACTTGTGCTTCTAATGGCTAGCGCTCCAACACATTGTGATAGGCTAAGGGGTCGGACATCTCTAAGCGGTTGACCAATCACAACAGAGACGGCCAGCTAACCAATCAGAGCAGCTGTTTTAGTGCCTGTCTCTTAAGTCCCCCCCTCCTGTTTGCTATGATAGGTTCCTTTTGAAACAAACTTATTTGAACCCAAACCAAAAGCATTTTCCTGAAACTAACAGAGTAGTTTTGTTGCTTAAACAGGTTCAGCACTCGAATGGCGCGTTTCCACTGCAGCGGGTAGCTCGCTTTAAGCGTGCTGAGCCGTGCGGGGCCCGTTTTTGGTTGCGTTTCCACTTGGCCTAGTTTTGGCCCGGGGCTACTTTTTCACCTTTTTTCTGGCCCGACTAAATCGTGGTTCTAGGGCCAGGAACAACCAGGCTGAGTCGGGCTGAGTATGCTAAACTAGAGAGAGAATCGCTGGCAAGGGGGCTACAACTACAACAAGATGAACATATTTGACCGTGATTTAATTGTAATACACGTTTCAAAATGATGCCGAAGTAACAACATACTGATACCGGTTAGTAAAAACCATGAATTAATGCTTTGACAAGTCTGCAGACAGACAGCAGGCGAAAAACCCTTTTAAAATGCGTGTTTTCTAAATGGAGCTTGGCTAAGCTAACGTTATATATGCTCCGACCGTCCACACTCACAACAACAGCCTATACAGACATAAATAAACCAGCGACTGTGTTCTCCATGACACAGGCAGTCTGTGGTTTGTACTTGTTTAACTTTTGTCTAGTTTCTGAACAGATATGAAGAGCTGTGAGCTCTGAGTGCTATCAGCTAACGGCTGATGTTGTTTGTCTGGGGCTCTCATTGAAGATGACGTCACGGCTCCACCTACACTGCGTTACTATAGTAACTGCCCCAGTTCCTAAACTGTAATGGAAGCGCAGCATTAAAGTGAGCCGGGCCTAATAAGGCCTAACCAAACCGAGCGAGGCCTGCAGTGGAAACGCGCCATAAGGGCTTGAACAGGTGCTCTGATCGCTCTTGTTGCTGGACATTCGATAAAAAATCCTCATAAAAAGACAAAATGTTTGGTTAAAATATCACACGAGCAGATATTTTAAGATATTAAAAGATGTTAAGATCCGCTGGAGTTGGTGGAAACAATATATCTGTTTTGAAAGTCTTTTTGTAGGTTAAGCGGGTCCTTTGGTTTTTCACAAACTTGAGAAAAAGATACCGTCTCGAAAAATTAAAGATATTAAACCATCACGTGATTATTTGGTCACGATTATCATTGGAGCATCAACCAGTGTTTCTGGTTTCGGCCGGAGGGCATAGCGGTGATTTAAGGAGGAAATTAAGGATGTAATCCAAGGAATAAAAGAGAGTAGGACATTAGGAAGTAATTTAGGAGGGATATAATGATGGTGGAGATTAGGAAAAGTAATGAGGGGGGATGGAGGGAACAGAGGGAAGAATGAGGAAGAGTGAGGAAGAGGAGGAGGTGATTTACAGAGAACAGGAAGTCTCTTAGGAATAAAAACCGAAAGAACAAAACTGTTTCCACTTTACTGACTTCTCTAATGACCAAACTGGCCTTTTGTGTCAAACAGCAGAGAGAGCAAAAACAGAGGAAAAAGTGCCATTCAGCGAAACCCAGCGCTCCATTAGGTCTGTGTAAACTGAACTCGTAGTGTACGAGTCTCTGTTGAAGGTTGAGACCGGCTGACCATCACTCACCCTGATGATCTGCACCAGACGTGACAGCTGGGAGAAGTCATTTTGTTTCAACACGTCTGAAGGCTGTGGGTTTCGCAGAACGAGCACATAGATCAGGGGTATTCAACTCAAATTCAACGAGGTCCAGTTAGAGAAAATGTCCCCATGCAAAGGTCCGGAACATCAAGATGTCTAAGTTGCTTTATGAATTAGTGTGATATATATGGAAGTAGCTGCAGCTTTATCAACGTCTGCATGTAATCAACAACTGACTGCCAATCAAATAAAGAAAGTACAATTCAAAAACAACAACATTTATTGTCTATTAACATTGAACTCTACACAGTAAATACTGTGGATATGTGTAATGTTCCTCTCTGGCTGCATTTAAAAATGAAATCGAGAAAATAAATAAAATAGCTTTTGAAAATATGTGCATCTTAAAAGTGCTTTATTTTAGATAAATAAAATAAAGTGTAGCAGCAGCTTGAGTGTCCCTTTTTCTTTGTTAACCGTTTCACATCATGACTTAACAGTTTCAGACGATTATAGAACATATCAGTCTTTACACATCATAACAATTGAACAGTTTTAAAGTTTCTCTTTCTTTCCCTCTTATATTGCAGACCCTCTCTCACTTTGTTCTGTTCAGTGCAAGAAGTGAGCTGGAGCTTGTCCTGTCAGGAGTTTAGATCTAGGCTGAAATATGGCAATGTTTTCCTTTTCCGTCTTCAAAGGTCTCATTTCATCCAGTCTCTCAGCTCTTTGTCCATGTTGTCCTTAATTTCCTCCTCTTTCTTTCTTATCACCCGACATCTTTTTCATACAGCACTTTATTCATTGTCACACTTAATCATAAATCTCTTTATACTTTTCTTCCATTCTTTTGTCACACCTCGTCCACAGCTCCACTTTTTGCTTTGCATTTCTTTCCACATCATGTCTAACCTTCCCTTCCTTTTATAATCTCTTCTTCACACTCATCCTCTGTCCACCCGCTTCTTTTCCTTCTTTCCTTTATCAAAATATTGTCTCCTAAGTAAAAGCAATGGTGTGAATTTACCCTTAAACAAGTAACTGAACACTTAAAGGTTAAAAAAGGCATAAAAGTCACGTTTTTATTGATATTCACCGTTGAACATTTGCTGATCACTTCGGTGTAGAAGAACGGAACATTTTAAAATGAAAAAAGAAAGAAAGACTGGTATATTAAAAATAATGAAAGGAATGATCTTCCTAAGTCACAAACGGAGATTATTTGACAATGTTTGCTTCCTCTAAATGAATCTAGAGTCACCATAAAAATCAGCAAGAAGTATCAACATGAATGGCAATTAATTATTAATTATTAATTAATGGCATTAATTAATTAATGTTCATATTTTATCATTTGGTTTTTAAACTGGGAACCTCTGCACCTCTAGTGCTACGTGGCATTATTGCAGAGTGTCTGTCCTGAAACATATTTTGATATTGATCTTGGCAAATTAAAAGATGTATTGTTTAAAAAAAGATGCAATGTAAACAAGAGCTCCATTCTGTATTAAAATAACATCTTCAATATTATTTATCAGAGAAATAAACACGTTTTCTCTCTAGAGTAACAATCTTAAAGGTTTGTGTTATGGGTTTTGTTTCTGTGAATTTGGCGTGGCGGTCTAAATACTGCAATACCCATGAGCCTCGGCAGCAGTTGCCATGGAGAAGGAACCAGCAAGTACAAGGTGCGAATCAGTAGTGTGAAAATACATCTGAAAAGGAAGCTTTGGGTCTCAGTTGGGCACGTAGAGATTGATTTATCCCAGGGCCAGTGTGGACAGCTGGGTCGATCTGCTCCATCAAATGAATGAGCTGGATGGAGCGCTTTCAAGCAGCCTGGACCTTTTTTTTTGTCATATTCTGTTCAATTCTGTATGGATTTATGTAAGATACTGAAGTCCCTCTCTTGCTTTAAATGAGAGAGGGATCCCTCAAACTACATTTAGCAATACAAAACTTTCCTCTCTGAGCATGTCTGTTTTCTGACTAAAGGTTTAGTTCATTTTTATTTATTATTATGGTCCTTGGTCTTGGAATGACCTTCAATCACGCCTCAAACTGACGGCCCTTGTCTCAATAGCATGTTTTAAATTGAAGTTGTCTGAGGTCCTTACCACCAGCTGCACCTTTCTTACTGTCCTAATGTGCACAATGTAGTGACTGCTTTTCGTCTTAGTTATGTTCTCTGTATTTTATATGTTTGTGTTATGTGTAACGTTGCTGCCTTCTTGGCCAGGTCAGCATTGAAAATGAGATTGTATCTCAATGCTTTTATCTGTTGCAGGATTCTTGCTGTTCTGAATTCATGTCCTCTTGGTTGATTGCACTCATTCTAAGCAGTGTTGTTCAGCAATAGTGAAGAACCACAGCTGGCGGAGCTGCTTTGGTTTATATTCCAGATGTATTCATCAGGCTGACTCACTTTGTGCAGATGGGGGTAGTAGGCTTTTCAGAGGGAGGGTGACCTTGAGGTATTAAGTTTATTACAAGGGGCTTGGTACTTGAAAACATGGCTAAGAGCCACTCTGAATTCATTGGTGCTATTTCGGTTTCTGGTAATAGAGTCGTGCAGGGATGTCAGATTGTTGTAGGCCGACTCAGTAGGTATAATTGCAAGGTGTCCTCGCGTCAAAAAGTATGTTTTAATTGTATTGGATTTTAGAATGATTGCAGAAAATAAGCCCAGTGGCCAACACACATTCATGATACTTACACGTTGTGTTAACACCACTTAAGGATTTGTGTGTAAATGCAATGGAAAGTGGAAAGGAAGTAAAGAGCAAAAGTTAGGGTATAAACCAATAGAGAAAGGTTGCATGGCTGTGTGAAAAGAGGCTATAAAAGTGTTCGTACTGGGTCGTTTATTTACCTCAAAAAAATAAACTCTGATTTACAGACATCACTTTCCCAATGTCAAGTCAATGGGAAAAAGTCTTTTTGGGCCCAAATGACCTCACGGACTTGAACAGAAATCTTTCACCACAGTTTTGGACGCTATGAAAATGTGCTTCAATGCTTCCTGGGTGATTTCTCTAAATAACAGCAGATCTCTCACCTCGTACTCCAGGTCGTCCGGTCTGTCCACCTCGTGGTTGGAGACGTCAAAGTAGTCGTCGGGGTCGTTGTACTCAAACACACAGCTGAGGGGAGAGAAAGGGAAATCAATCTTCATCATATCATCTGACAGCATTGATTTTTCTGTCCAGAGACTTTATTGTGTTATTCTGGACGCCCTAAAAGACAAAAGGTCAGGACTCACAACTCGTTGATGCCGTACGGTGCTTCGAGGTGAGGCGCGGGGGGGGACGGAGGGGGAGGGGAGGAGGAGCGGTGGTGGGGATGGTGGTGACCTCTGCTCCTCCCCGGAGGAACGATGTTCACGAAACTGATGTCCGTCTGCGTCGCGTTGTCCACGCAGTCAGGGATCGACACCATGGCAACCGAGTAGATGGAGCTGCTGCCACCGGTCCCATTACTGCTGCACACCAACGTACCTGAGGAGGAGGAGGAGGAGGAGGAGGAGGAGGAGGAGGAGGAGGAGGAGGAGGAGGAGGAGGAGGAGGAGGAGGAGGAGGAGGAGGAGGAGGAGGAGGAGGAGGAGGAGGAGGAGGAGGAGGAGGAGGAGGATGAAGAAGAAAGAAGAAGAAAAGTTCATAGAGGAGGGGCAAGAAGTGGAAGAGGAGGAAGAAGAGGCAGGAGAAGAGGAAGAGTTAACAACACACAGAACTGAACAGTGTTAACATTGAAACTTTATAAAGATACAGTTGAACGTTTTCATGGTTTCCAGACATTAGGAAACTGTTCAATTCAGTTCTACAGACAAAAGAACCAACAATTGTAAAAATACAAACCAAATTAACTGTCAAAAAATGTATCTAAATTGATTTGGAAGTGCATTAAATGTGAGGAAATAAGAAACACCTGAATCAGATCTAAGAAGTAAAATATATGAAATGTTTAATTTGACACGTAATACCCATAAGGGACCAACATGCTTCAATTGAGTTCTAAAGACAAACAAAAAATCCAAACCAAATGAACTGTAAAAATAGAAAAAAGTATATAAATATGTAAACAAATTAAATCCAAAAATAATCTAAATAAATGTGTTAGTTTGTGAGCAAATGAGAAACACCTGAATCCGATGAGGCCTAGGAATTAAAATACCTACAGTTATACCCTAGAGCAGGGGTACTCAAATACAAATCTTGAAGGTCCAAAATAAATGTTTCAATAAGACAAAGGTCCGTTTATTACGGTCATTCAAACTTTTAAACAATTGCAACAAGATTCTTAACACGAGGTTGCAAAAACTAAAATAATCTGTATGCAGCAGTTTTTCATTGTTATTGTGTCTGTGCTTGACCCCTCAGAGTCGCAGTGTAAGAGCTGCACAGTTATGAATAAAGGCAGCTGCACCCTCTTTCATTCAGCATTCCCATTAGTGCTTTATAAATGTATTCCCCCTTGTGTGTCCACTGAGGTTCGTCAGGCCCAACACATCTTCAACAAACTCCCCCTTTGCCTCATCATAAAAACTCACAAACACCAGCAACTGAGCATTGTCAGTGGTGTCAGTGGACTCACCCACAGCTAAGGAAATGCACTGTGCATTTTTTATTCCATCACAAAGCCGATTAATCAAATCACCAGCCAGTATGTATGTTCTTCTGGTTGCTGTGGAATCTGAGAGGGGGATTTGTTTGATTTGACCTGTTATTTCCTCTTTTTGTTTGCCTTCAACATGGTCTCCATCACTTCAGTCATGCATTCTTTTATACTGCAGTTATTATCCAGTGGAAAGTCCTTACCTACTGCCCTAGTTCAATCAAAGTGGTTACTTTTTTTTGGCTGGGCAGTGTAGTTTTACACACCGTCTTATTTGACTTTCTCAGGACTTAAAACTGTTTTTTGGGGGCAGACCCCCTCAAAGAAAAAAATATATTTACACACGTAAGGTCATCATCTTAATAGTTGTGTATGCTCATCCGTGAGCAGAGCATCAAGTTGACATGTCTATTACAGCTGAATGCGGCGATTACCATCTTGTTCAGCGAAACGCCTCACAAACGTATTAAGATCAACAGCTTTAGTGCGTTTTGATTCAATGCTGAGTACAGCCACACTGACAGTCTCTTCTCTGTCAGTGTAGACCGCAAATACCTCATTCCTTCAGCGCTTGGGTCCGAATGCTTCTCGTTTTGCGCCGTCCAGTTTAAAATGAAATCGCCGCCAATCGTATGTACACGCTCGCGCCAGGACCGGGGGAGGGGTTACATGACGTGCATCTTGTGCTGCATTCACTTGCACTCGGACATTAGAGACTTTCTCTCATAAATGTCCGATGAGCCACAACTTTTCTTTCAAAACAAAGCTGCCAACTGGGGTGGCAGCTGGGGTGGCAAGGCCTATGTTTAGGGTGTCAGTTGCCACCCCGGTAGGTTAAACTAGGCTACTAGCTACAGTACAGATGGAACTAGATGAGCTGTTAACTCTCGCTCTGAATTTTTATTTTTTTTATTCTCGCTCTGACTTAGACAGGTTGAAAGAGACACACACATTTTTCCCACCCGCATTCCGCGAAGACCCGCCCTACTGTGCCTCTGATTCGCAGATTGTTTGGGGGGAAAAAACGCTGACTGGATGCTGAATGTGATTGGACCAAAGCGTTGACACACACAGGTGGAACACAGTGGAACAGTCAGACATGCAGAGCGCTGTTTGCAGTGGACATAGCGGAGAATTTTGACTTGTTGCGAATGCGTTGTGGCGATGTCTCACATATAATACAGAGAGATCATACATATGAAAAGTATAATTTGCTCAGAGTCCGGAGACAGTGGTGGTTCGGTCCGGATCCGGACCGGAGTCCGTAGTTTGAGGATGCCTGCCCTAGAGGACCAACATGCTCGCTGCCTTTAAAATCAAATTAGATACATGAAAATCTGTATGTATGGCATGTTGTATGTTGGCAGCTGCTTGAAAAGGTAGAGGAAAAGGAGAATGTTGGCATATGCTGTGGCTGCTGCTCAGTGGGTAGTGCGCTGAACTTCAAATCAGGTGATAGCAAGTTCGAGTCCCACTGCAGTCAGCATGTCGTTGTGTCCCTGAGACGCTTCACCCCAAATTGCTCCTGTGGGGATTGCCCACAGTATTGAGTATGTAAGTCGCTTTGGATAAAAGCGTCTAACATGTCATGTGATGTAATGGATATGACTAATATTGAAATAGAAAAGCGGGAATGATTAAACGCTGCAGTTACATCAGAAAAGACGGTAAAAGTGAAGTGATTTTTAGATATGAAATAAGATGAGAGGAAACGAGGAGAGGAAAGGGGGAAAGATGAGATATGGAAACGTGATAAGGAAGAGGAACATCAGCTGAAACTAAATGGGACGGAGAGAAATCAGATGGAGATATTAGAGGCAAAAACGTGGGAAGACAAGAGAAGGGATAAAGCGGGGTTTGAAGTAATGAAAAGAGATGATATGAAAGAAAAGACATGAAAAAGAGGATTCCTGTCTGACAGCAGCTCAAAACCTCAAAGAGAGCGAAGAGAAAAGGAAGTAACACATGTGGGAGATAAAAGGAAGTAAAAGCACCAATTGAATAATAAAATATGTGTGTATTCATGTCTCTGTTTACCTTTCCTCCTTTGATTCTTGCGGACCGACCCGAGTTGTTGCAAAGGCTCCTGGGAGTTTTGTGGTCGGTCTAGTGGGAGCTGAGAGGCTCTCCGTCCTCTGACCTGAGGAGGGGAGGAGGGGAGGAGCAAAGCAGATTAGTAAATAAAGAATACTGGAGAAGTGGATTTAGTTAACCTGGCGTCACCCATTGGTTTGTAGTCTACTGAGTTTTGGCAATTTTTGTATCTCCATCTTCGTTTTTTTGTAACTGAAAGTGACCAAAATATTACCTTTAACTTTCATGTACTGTGAAAATGTTAAAGGGGCTCTATTCTGCTCATTTTCAGGTTCATATTAGTATTTAGTGTCTCCTGCCTGTGCTGCAGCACCTCTGTCTGAAACCAGAGCCCAGTCTGCTCTGATTGGTTAGCTGGCCGGCTCTGTTGTGATTGGTCAACCGCTTAGAGATGTCCCGCCCCTTAGCCTATCACGTACAATGTGTTGGAGCGCTAGCCAATAGAAGCGCAACTGTGACTTGAGGCATAACCTACAGTAATACTAACTATTTCTACATTTAGTGGACAAAAAGAGGCAAATAGTTTAATAGTCATTTGTATTAAGGATGTTTCCTTCTACAGCTCTAAAATAAGACGTTTTATGGAAGCACTAAAACCCTGAATATCAAAATGAAATGCATGAAAAACTGTTTTGCTTGGGGGGTTGCATAAGGCAACTACCGAGGGCATCAAGAAAGGATAGAGAACTTCAAATGCACTGTTTCCCCTATATACAAACAGCGGCGGCGCAGAAGGAAAGGGAGGCAAATATTCAAAGTTCTGTGGCCTTCATTGACCTTCTGCTGACTCTTCCAATGAATTCATCAGTCCATCTTGGGTCTGTTCCCCTTTTCGTCCTTTGCATACAGCTGATACTGCATGTTTGTTTTAAAGTGTATGTGGGTGTCATCGTAAAAGCAGTGCGTTTGGTTTACCTGTTCAAAGGTTTGCATGTATGCCAGTTGCCCATGTCTTGAGCAGGGCTCCATTGGATGATACGTTTTCCATTCTCAATGGGACTGTTTATAATAAGACATTTGCACTTGTTACAGCAAGAAAAGAGCCAAAGACAGCTTCATATTAACCAAGAAGCCATTTTTGAATATGACTAGTGTTGAAAAACACTTTGCACACATCACACATCAGACCTTCCTCACATAACGAATGATTGAAAACTGTGCAGGTGACAGTCTGACAGGAAATATCCTGTATCTACCATCAGCTTTATGGGAGAGGAACCTTATTAAAGATGACTGATAGGAGGCGGTGGAGGGAAGTGGGACACGAGAGTCAGAGAAGACGAAGAGTCAGTCAGGGAGGAGGATCATAGAGAGAGAGTGTCCTACCTTCACGTTTCCCTGTCTGTCCTTCGGCCGCAGGGAGTCGTTCCAGCCTTTCTGCTAATGAGAGGGAGACAGAGACGAATGGTGTTAGGAGAGGAGGAGAGGAGGAGAGGAGTATATTATCTATCTAGGAGAATGAAACCTGAAAAACACTGAAACCAGAGAGACGCGAACAATTAAAAAAACAATATTACATTTGTTATATTTGCAAACATCATATTTATTAGTCTATAGAACATCCCTAACATTGGTGTAAGGTGGTCTGCTACGTCCCCACTAGGGGATGAGGACATGCAACACACACCAGTTGGAATTGGTAAATAATGATAAGGAGTTTATTATATAGCAGGATAACAAAATGGAAGGCAAGCAACTTGAAACAAACAAAAGGGCCACGAGGGCGCAGGTTTAACTGAGCACCCACAACAATTAAATACAAACAAATATACACTAACAACCAAAATAACAACAAAACAACCCTCACTATCCAAGTGGTACAGACTAACGAAAGGAGACTGTATGCAAACACAGCTATACTATAAGACAACAGTCAACATGATACTATCCTAATCTAAACACATCTAATCACATCAACTAATTATCAAAACGAATAATTTCTAAATTCAAAGGATTTTTCTTTTTCAGAAATGAAGGAAAGTCTGTCTGTTGTGATTGGTTAACAGCTTAGAGATGTCCTGCCCCTTAGCCTATCACGCACAATGTGTTGGAGCGCTAGCCAATAGAAGCAGATTGTTACATAGTGACAAGATATCTGTTTTTCTTATTTGGGTCCTTGATGGAGAACTCTAGCGGACACCATGCTTCCAACCAACTATCAAATCAAAAGTCATAAACTCAATTTATCATAACAAATTAGCCAAAATTGTAATTCTTCAAGCTTTGCATTTGTCCTTTTAATTACAGTTTTTTTTAAGGCATGATAAGGCGGTTATTTCCACCCAACGTACCACATTTTACAGATTTTATAAATCACACCATCATCAATTGTTTCACTCTCTCCACTCACTTAGACTTCAAGTCCTGTGCCATGTTACCAAGTCACAGAAACACAGGGGGCACGTAGTGTTTCCCTCCAGGCCACACACACACACACACACACACACACACACACACACACACACACACACACACACACACACACACCAAAAGGTCCTCACAAAAAGAAATGTCCTCACAAGTAAGGTTGGATGTCAGGGGTTGGTCCACACAAGAATAGCAAGGCAAACACACACACACGCACACGCACACACACACGCACAGCAGAACAAGCGCTAATTTACAGGGCAGTGTGTAACCTTGGTTCACTCTCACCTGCATCAGCGGCTCATAACTAGCTTACACACAGCGAAAACATTAGCATAAGTAATAATATAGCTGTAAGCATAACCGAGAGTGCAGGCGTCACTCAGGGGGAAATATGAAAAGAAACACCTGCTCACAAATGAACATGAACGTAATTATTATTATTGTGTGTGTGAGTGTGTGAAGCGTAATAATGAAAATACTGTGTCTTTATTAGATTTTCAAGAATCATCTCTTGTGAAGTTAATGACTGCAGACACGCTCGCGTCAATCTAATGCCTGAAGACACACACGCAGGAGCCCTCTGTACATTTCCAGGTAGACACACACACACACGCACACACGTACACACACAGCTCATGAATACTTCGTGGTTGCACACAAATCTCTATCCAACACCTCTCCTCCCTGCCTTTGTTTCAGAGCTGATTGTTATGCATTACATGTTGTCTGCAGGTTGTGTGTGTGTGTGTGTGTGTGTGTGTGTGTGTGTGTGTGTGTGTGTGTGTGTGTGTGTGTGTGTGTGTGTGTGTGTGTGTGTGTGTGTGTGTGTGTGTGTGTGTGTGTGTGTGTGTGTGTGTGTGTGTGTGTGTGTGTGTGTGTGTGTGTGTGTGTGTGTGTGTGTGTGTGTGTGTGTGTGTGTGTGTGTGTGTGTGTCAGTGAACATAAGGCCTTAGCAAGTCAATACCCACTCAATATCCCCACTCATTTATCAGGTGTGTTGTGGTCTGGTCACTGATTGTGTTTCATCTGCCATCAAGTAGGTCGGCCTAGAATTTCCCCCCTGACAAATCACATACCTCGGGTAGACAACTGTGTGTGTGTGTGTGTGTGTGTGTGTGTGTGTGTGTGTGTGTGTGTGTGTGTGTGTGTGTGTGTGTGTGTGTGTGTGTGTGTGTGTGTGTGTGTGTGTGTGTGTGTGTGTGTGTGTGTGTGTGTGTGTGTGTGTGTGTGTTGTTACATAGAGATCTCCCTCTGAGTTGCCACCTTCACCTTCTGGTTTGTCAGCCGTTTAAAGTTGTGTTTTGTTTATCATATGAAGTAAATGTTGATTGCACAATGTAATGGCTGTAGAGTAATGACACCATGGGCGTTTAAACGTATTCCCCTTAAGCCTCGCTCTCACTATGCAATTTTGTCTTTCCACTGGGTACGATCTCCTGGGAAATTGAAGGCTTGATTTACGGCACACGAAGGGAAAAGAGCACGCTTTAGTTGTGCCTATAAAATGATAACGTGCGCTCTGCTGTCCGAACCGAGAAAACTGTAGTGTTATGGCTCCCACATTTAAACTACAGAGCATTATAGATACACTTATTCCGTACTTACCTTTCAAAATAAAAGCCCTTAATGTCTACATTTGTTCTTTTCAAAGGCCATATCTTACAGTATCTATCCCCAGGTAGAGGAACAACCGGGAAATGTTAACTGAGGAAACTCTAAAAGGCAATAGAGCCCTGTTGACGAAAGGAGATAAAAAAGGTGAAGAGGGAAAGAAATACAAAATCATTCTTCAAACTGAGCTAGATCAGTAAGAAACAAAAACCTGCCTCGTTAATCCAACTACTGGGGTTTTCTCTGTCTTTATCATCCCAAATTGCGGCTTGAAATCTGAGTTTATAGTTCAAGTTAAGGTTTTAAGAATTGTTTCTTGATTTGAAAAGCAGGAAACCTTTTTAAATAAGGTCTGTGGTTAATTAACACTAGCTAAAAGGTGGGGTAGGTAATTTTGGAGAAACCAGCTCGAGTAGCTTGAATTTGAAAATACACAGCCGGAACAAATCTGCCACTTCCTCACAGAGCCCCTCCTCCAACACACTTGAACGCGCACATGACCAATGAGGGCACGAGGTAAGTTTGTGCCCAGATGGAAGGCTGACAGGCAGGTAGGCCATCCAGTTACTTTAGCCGGGCCGGCTCAGATGATTGGTCGTGCTTTTTACAGCGCCACGGCTTCCACAGATTTTTGTCAAAGCACTTCATTGCTATCGGGATGTTGAGAGCATTCCATGGAATATAACAAAAAGTGTATCTCGAGCCGGTTTCTCAAACTTACCTACCCCACCTTTAAGAGATGTTCACGTTTTGTTCTACGACGTAAAATACGTCAGTAAATACTCCACTGCTGAATGTCGGAAGCTTGTTCATGTCTTGAAAACAGCAGTTGCGGACAGGTGTCTAAATAGGATTACTAAACATCATCTCGCTGAACATTAGCCGCCTTTAGCTTAGCGATGGTGACTCGTTATGTAACTGTGATGTAGTTCCTTTAAAGCCTAATGTTGGCGTCTTACTTCTAGGGAATATATTTAGACTTCAGTATCATAAAGGTGTGTTAATACGTGGAGATTATCCTGCTGAACAGAATGTGTAAGTATCATAAACGTGTGTTTGTCACAGAGCTTATTTTCAATTAATTTAAATGGAAAATCCCTTCGAGTAAACCTGTTAACTTCTGGGTCAGTCTAACAAAAGTATCTGATCACTAGTCTGTACCTCTCCAGTTTCTGTTTGTCTTTGAGTATGTGGCAGTTTGACTGCGTGTGTGTTTTCTGTGCAGGATAATTACAACCTTCCCCTGCTGCGCCACTGCTCATTATACTGTGTGTGTGTGTGTGTGTGTGTGTGTGTGTGTGTGTGTGTGTGTGTGTGTGTGTGTGTGTGTGTGTGTGTGTTGTGTGTGTGTGTGTGTGTGTGTGTGTTGTGTGTGTGTGTGTGGTGTGTGTGTGTGTGTGTGTGTGTGTGTGTGTGTGTGTGTGTGTGTGTGTGTGTGTGTGTGTGTGTGTGTGGTGTGTGTGTGTGTGGGTGTGTGTCTGTGTGTGTGTGTGTGTGTGTGTGTGTGATGTGTGTGTGTGTGTGTGTGTGTGTGTGTGTGTGTGTGGTGTGTGTGTGTGTGTGTGTGTGTGTGTGGTGTGTGTGTGTGTGTGTGTGTGTGTGTGTGTGTGGTGTGTGTGTGTGTGTGTGTGGGTGTGTGTGTGTGTGTGTGTGTTGTGTGTGTGTGTGTGTGTGTGTGTGTGTGTGTGTGTGTGTGTGTGTGTGTGTGTGTGTGTGTGTGTGTGTGTGTGTGTGTGTGTGTGTGTGTGTGTGTGTGTGTGTGTGTGTGTGTGTGTGTGTGTGTGTGTGTGTGTGTGTGTGTGTGTGTGGTAACAATAACAGTCCCGACTGGGCTCTGCCACATTAGCCCGACAGAAATCACAGCTAAGTGAAGTGTGAAATTAATAACCGAGAGGCAGGAAAGCGCTGACTCGTCTCTTCTGTTATAGAAAACCTGATATCTTACATACAAAGTGCGCTCTCGCCTAATGGAGCTTTATGTTTAACATAACAGCATGGATCTCAATCAGGAGCCTTTTTGTGCTTTATCTCAGTCAAAATGGATTATTGATCCTTTTCAGCATAACAGAATCACCCAATTGTTACCTAAAACACAAATAACTGATGTTGTGCACGAGGCTAGTTAGCCATCTTTTTCTTAAATCATGGGCGGAGAGGTGGGACTTCATTATTGGAGGACTATTGATTGATATAGAGAGCGGTACAAAACAGTTATCACTGTGCCTTCATTGTAATGCAGAATACTTCAGTCAGTATTTACTAGTTGAGCCAGTGGATTGATTTACTATCCATTGACCTTGTGGTTTAAGTGTCTTAGAGAGCAGTGAATTAAATCACTTATGTTAATGACACAGTGAACATTAGCTTTGTCACCAATTATAGCTCTGTAATGTTGGTGCCCTGTTCATTTTGGTTATATGCTATTTTCATCCACAAAGGAGGCAAGGTTGGTCAGTCAACCACTTTGTTCCCGACTTAAAATTCCCCGCTGTTATTCCATTAATATTCATGACATTTTGTTCAAACATCCATCACTCCCACACAATGAATCATGCTGACTTTGGTGATACTCTGTCTTTGTCTCTGGATTTAACAAAGTGTGGTTTTGGGTGAAAATACTCAATAACTATGTGTATATTGTCATGAAACGGAGACCTATCGGATGACCAATGTTCGGCTGAATTGATTACCTTTTTAGACCCTGTAGAGATTACTAACATCTTTACTTTCTTCTAGTGGCTTCATCAAGTCAAAACTTTAACTTCCTGGCTTTTATTTGATTTATTTCCATTTAATTTTGGAGAGATACTCATCACTCCCACACAGTGAATACTAATAAATTTGGTGACCCTTTCTCATAACATCACCAAGGGATTAACAGATGTAGTTTTGGGTGAAAAGACTCAACAACTTTACTGTGAATTGGATCGTCATGAAATTAATTTCGGGCAGCTGTATTGATTACAATGGAGAACTATTGGATGACTGATATTCTGCTGAAACACTTTGTAGATCATGACATTTGATTCTCTAATACCCCAATGTCCACCCTCCACCTCACCACATTAAGGACATACTTCTTATTAGGGTTGGTATTGAACTTTTGTATTGAATGCAACTTGTGAGCTGCAGTAATCATCCAATATGATTTTCTCTTGGGAATATGGGTGTGAGTTACTGTGTAGCATATTTGCATACTCCATGAATGTACTCCTCACATGTGCTACTGCTACTGAAGTATAGGACAAGCATACTTTGACTTTCATTCTAGCATTTGAAATGTTTAGCTCATTTGAAACCAATGCAGTAGCACTTTCAGTAGCGTGTAACGAAAAGCGAACGTACCTGCAGGATTCTTGCTATTTTGAGTTTGAGTGCACTTAGTGTGGCCTGCTTTCAATAAAAGCATCAGGTGAATGTTATGCAATGAGGTTATTCTTCAGGTGAACATGAATGTCTGCATTGTCTTTTATGACACTCTAAAAGTTATTTGAGATATTTCTCTTGAGACCATTATATGGCAACAGTAGAACGTTAACCAGAGGGTAACCCTGCCTCAAAATGCAACACGCCATGTAAACAGAAGAAGTAATTAAAATGACAGTATTGACGAGTGAGAAGCGTGACAGAAACATTCCCGCTGGGGTTATAACTACCAGTAAAGCATTAGCAGCAGCTTGAGACCATTGTGATCTCTGCCACACAGGAACAGGAGCTGATGCTGATGACTTTTATTGTCTCTCATTGTTGTCGCCATGTGTTCAATATGTCGGAGGCTCCATCAATACCACCTCCTGGGGCTTTAACACGTTCCTGCTCCCTGCTCATTAACTATTTACTGAATCCATCAACACAAATGCACACACACACACACATTTATCTCTTTCATCCACGCGTTTATGGGCTCAGAACAGTCTCATAATACACACATGCACACAGAAGGATTCACACTTGTATTTCCGGATCCATACTTGTGGTTTTCAAAGCACACACAAATGTGTTCCGTAAATCGCATGTAAATAAAACCCAAATACAGAAAAAAGTTGTATATATGTCAGGGGATTCTCAAAAAACCCACACACGAATGCAAAGCGATCCGTGCACAGAAAGCGGTTTGTGTTTGCAGGTTCAGAGGATTTAAACGGAAAACTAATATGTGAGGATCAAAAATCCATATTCTGTATTTTGATTTTATTTACATATGAAACGTAACACATTGGTGTGTGCTTTGAAAACCACAAGTGTGGATCCGGAAATACAAGAGTGAATCCTTCTGTGTCCATGTGTGTATTATGAGACTGTTCTGATATAATAATCATAATAATAATAAATCATAAAGAACTGTTACAGGATGTGTATTTTGTAAATTGTGTAATTTGTGTATCTTTAATATTTTTGGATGCATGCTTCTTGGTCTTTGGCTCTTTTCTTGCTGTAACAAATTCACATTTCCCCTCTGGGACGAATAAAGGTATTCCGATTATGATTCTGATGCTGATTGGTTGAGTTAAGTATTTTTCAATCGCCTCACGCAATGTTTTTTAAATGTCTTATTATTAAACCATTATTCAAGTCCCATTGAGAATGAATCATCCAATGGAGCCCTGGTCAAGACATGGGCAACTGTGTTTCCTAACAAACTAGCCTACATGCAAAACAAACACACTGCTTTTACGATGACACCCACATGAACTTTAAAACAAACATGCAGTATCAGCTATATGCAAAGGACGAAAAGGGGAACAAAGATGGACTGATGAATTCATTGTAGGGCAGCAGGAAGTCAATGAAAGCCACAGAACTTTGAATATGTATATGTGATTCTTCCCTTTACCTCCGTTTCCTTCTTTTGCCATTCGTGCTTCAGTGTAATGTGGCTCTTGGAGTTGTGTTGGGAAAATACCGAATGTACTTTTCCAATATCAGAGTAACATGATAACAAAGGCCCAACTGTAGCTGTGTACATGACAGGATATATGATTACCTAGAAGAGCATCAGGACTGTTTTAGGCATATGACAGCTATGTGACAACGATTAACATGATGATTCAGCCCCTATGGAGAGAGACATTTGACTGTCATGTTTATTGCTTACGTGGGTCTTAGCTAATCTGAACTAAGCATAGAATACTGCTTTGAACCGGTATACATGTATCTTGTGACTGTGTAACTCCCTCTCTTGGATATCAGCATGTGAAGGACACTGTTCAGGAACTAGTTGATGCTCTGTATGTGATGACTACTTCCATTCTGGAGAGGATCAGAATGGATCCTGAGGTTGAAGCTCAAGCTGGTGACGAGTGATACTTTTCTAACAAGTTGCATTGATGACCTTTTTGACCACCTGTGCGGTTGAATTTCAAAAGATCAGGTCCTATCGTCTTTTCCAAACCACTATTCCTTAACTTCTGAGTTAAACATCATTGGGTTAAGAAGAGAATCTGACTGCACTTACATTAGGCTGTGAATGATTGGCCAGCGGATGTTATTGATGTGCGTCTGCCATGAGGAAACAGTAGATTACCATAAGCGCATGTAGATACTTTGCTCTTTGTGGTGATGATTTATAAACATGAACAACATTATTACATTAAAATATATACAACATTTTCTCCTTTCATTTCTAAAAGGGTGGTCGAGTGTATCCTCAACTAAAGGAGATTATAAAGGAAGCACTGCAGCTCTTTTCCTGTCATCAGAATCTGATCAGCTCTTATCACGTCTGACACTGAGGAACTTCTGAGTCATTTCACTCCGTTAGGAACCTTCCCAAGACCCCAGGAAGTGCGCCGGCCGCTGAAGGACATTTTCGTGGTGGCTGTATTGACAAACAGTCGTAATTTGGTTTTCCTGCTGTGTATCACCAGACCTACGCCCATATTTCTCTATTGGTCTTTCCTTGTAAATGCATGTAAGTAAATAGGCCTGATATAATGAACTGTTGTTCCATATCCACTTTGCATTAAGTCGAAAGTGCAGCTAACTAACGCATAATGTTAGTTAATGTTTAACCTAATGTATAATATAAAAAGCTGCACATCTCCAGTCTCTGTCCAAAAGAGAGGAACCGGGAAGAGACAAGGATGGAAAAGGTTCTTCTGATCATCATCGCTCTTTCAGGCAAGAGTTTTATATATTTGATTTAAAATACTGCATGTTGTCCCATTAGCAATTGTTAGTACTTTGTATTTTGGTTTCCGTCTGACAATTACTTAAGTTCTTTAATTTACAGTTTAACTTTAATGTAATTTGGAGAAGTCGGTTCAGTAATTGATATTGAATCTAATCAAAGTGTCTGTGTCTCTGCAGGGCTGAGCGCTGTCTCCTCACATGCTGAACGTCAGTACCATTTTGTTTATGAAGCAAAGAACATGTCTGAAGCACAGAGATACTGCAGAGAGAAACACACAGACCTGGCCACTGTAGACAGCGAGGAGGTTGTGAAGCTCCTGAACGACATGGCAGGCCAACACAACCAAGTGAGGTCACTTTTCTCTGTCTTTCGATTCAAATGAATTACATTTCTTTTAGAGTTACATTTAAAAATGAGAGATTATTACAGAAAGCTAAACCTGTTTTAAAGTCCTATGGGAACCTGAGTATTAAAACAGAGTTGAACATGTTTTAAGCCAAAGCTATAGCATGAAACCCTGTAATAAAGTGGAAGAGGTTCAGAGTAACAAGGCTGTGAATGAATGTTGACTTGAGGGGATTCCCTTTAGATCACCACGTACCAAGGCTGGTCTCATGAAGGCAAACCTTCTCTTTATTAAACATACACATTTTCTTAAGCAGCAGCTTTAAAAGCTTCAACAGGATGTAATAAATATAACAATTTCTTGCTTTCAGTCAGCCTGGATAGGGCTGCACAGTGTTCAGGACAGCTGGAGGTGGTCGATGTCAGACCCAAGCTTCTACGGACCGGGGGAAGATCGAGTTCAGACCATGGGAGTTTGGACGACCAAGCAACGAGCACGATGACCAATGCACATATTTAGATTCTTATAAAACAGGAACATGGTTTAATTATGATTGTAATCACGCCCTCCAGGCGATCTGCTTTGATGTCACAGGTAAGAATATAAACTTAAAATTAATATTACACATTTAAAATCATATTTTAAGCTTCTGAAATACAATGCATTGATCTTTATCTAACTAGCGGTTCCCAACCTTTTTTCCTTTGTTAGCAGTTCCACTAAAGACATTTCTCTTTTCACTCAAATTCTCACATGGTTTCATTTAAAAGATAACGTGAAAGAAAATGATGTATACAATACTTTGCTAACTTGTTTCAGAATTATAGTTACATTTTACATCTTATACATCTGTGCTAAACAGAATAAGAACAATATAGAATCAATATAATTTGAATGAAGCTTTAACCTGTAACACAGTATCTTCGCATTGTTGTACTTCTTTTACTCAAATATCTGAATATTCCACCACTGATACTACTAAAGTTTATTGCCAACATTCATGTGTTGAAAAACCCCAGAACTACAAAGTACAAATATGTGGGATTTAAATGTAATATTTTATGTTATAAAGGCATCAATACCACCAGAGATGTGGCATTGATGTCAGGCTGTATGTCGTGGTGCCTCTACTCAGCTTCTCTGGGGTCCATTTTCAGGACCGAATGCAACATTTGTCCTCATTGAGAGCTACATGACATGGACTGATGCCCAGAGCTACTGCAGAGAACACCACACAGACCTGGCCAGTGTGAGAAACCTGACAGAGAACCAGCAGATTGTTGAGCTGGTATCTGGAGGGTTTTATTGGATCGGCCTTTACCGAGACTCCTGGAAGTGGTCCGATGGAAGCAACTCCTCCTTCAAGTACTGGGCAGATTATAAACCTAACTACATAGCTTTGAAGGTTTGTGTTGCTGTAGCTTTCGACAACTCTGGAAAATGGGAGGACTTGGACTGTGGCCTGAAGAAACCATTCATCTGCTACGGACGTGAGTAAAATGTACACCTATATCAAAGCAAGTGATGATATTCAACCCAGTCTCACGGCATTTTGTGTTCACCAACACGATTTTTAATCTATTGATTTGTGTTCACCAACACGATTTTTAATCTATTGATTCGTGTTCACCAACACGATTTGCCCCTTTTTTTTCGTGTTGCACAGCACGATTTTAAAAGCAATGTATTTCTACTGCCTGCAGCACGTCTTTTTCTCCGGTCGGGTCGTGGGAGACCGGAAGCTGTGTGGTTCATAAAAACATGTTCTTACTCAATATCAAGCCACAATTATTGCTTTTATTTTAAATCGTATAATTTCGGACTTTTGTTTCCGTCTGTGAGGAAAAATTTTAGAAGGACATTTTTTTTCCTTCTAATTCGTTATTCTTTTCAAAATAACACACTGTTATTTACTCACCAATAACACACAATTATCCTTGCTTTTATTTATTGGTTTAATTCCATAATCTCTGGCTTTTTTGGTGTCCGTCGGGAACTGAATTTCAAAATAAAAATAACCGGAAACAGACGTAGGCCTATAAGGGACATTTCGAGCATTATTGCGATTGTCAACATTTCTGAGTTTAGGATGGCCGAAGACACTACACTACCCATAATCCCCAGCTATCGTTTAGGACTACAGTCCCCGTAAGGTTACGCAGAGCGTCAAACAGCTGTGTGAAATGGAACGAAACCACGCCAGACTATCCAAAACTGGAATCGAACGCCCCCCCAGAACTACACATGCGGGCTATTGTGTTTCCCAAAATGTTCTATGGGACGTCTCTACTGAACGTTTTCGTTTTTCCCACAATTAGAAGTTGCCAGTATTAAACACATTGGTGTTATCAAATGTAAAACATATAATTAATAAATGGGTGAAAATCGCTTGTGTCCATAATGCGCAGCATTAATACCCACATGACAGCTCATTGTTACTTTGTAATTCTACTCCACTACAATTCAGAGGTTAACCTGGTATTTTTACTCCACTACACTTATTTGAGTTACTTTGCAGATTCTGATTAATGATGTAAAATATAAACAACCCTTAAATCAGACTTTAGTTACACCTGAGTAAAATTCAGGTAAGGTGATTGTCAAGTGCCAACAATCAGGAGAGATATTTGATAGTTGGTGCTTGAGAAGACTCAACATGTATCTGCAATTGACATGAATGGAAACGAGTAATAAAGTATATTCATTACTCGTTATTCTCTAGCTAATTAAAGACTGTATAATGACTATTTTGCACATCCCTTTCAAGATTTTCAAAGGTTTATTGACATATCATATACACAACTACGGTGTAGTTATGCAATGAATGAAACACTTGGGTCACAGGTTCCTCAACAGTGCATTACAAGACATCTATCAATATGTGTACTCAGTAGTTTCATCTAGTTGTTATTTAATGACTCAGTAGTTTATATAATGACTCAGTAGTTTCATCTGTATACCTCCACCATTAAACTGTCATATTCTGCACATTTCTTATTATATCTACATACATAAGAGTATAATTCATATGTATAATATCAGTTAAAATAAGTGCTTCAACATAGTTAACATTGCAGGAAAGCAATATATTAGACATTAAGTACTTTGTCAGGCTTAATATTTATCTGTAGATACTGTAGATACCCCCAAAGTTTTTTTCTTATTTAAAAGAAGACCTTAATCTGTTATTTAATGTTTAAATAAAGGTTAATTCGTTTTTCTGTTTTGCACCTCCTCCTATTAATATCTTTGTACATTCTGCACTAAACTGTTTTATTGTAGAGATCACTTAGAGTATCTTCTTGATTTTTTATATTCTATATTTATACTTTCCTCCTATGAAAGTATGTACTCTTAATATTTTTTTAATCAAATAAAACACAATAATTCAATAACGTGCTTTAACCACTAGGCGGTGCACACAAGGTACACACAGCCATAATAACTTTGTATTATTAGTGTAGGACACTTGTGTTTTCGTACAACATCTGAAGATGTGTAGTTTTATGCATGCTTTCACATAATTGTACAGCATATTGCTATACTATTTCAGACTCAGTATTTACATTCTTACATTCAAAGAAAATCAGTAATATCTTTAAAAACTACAGTCCTTTTATATCAGCTGTGCACCGTTATGGTGTAAATATAACCTATCTGTGAATTAGATCAAATGTAAAAGTCAGCCGAATTAGTGTTGATACTGCAAGGAGACGTATTGTGTGAAGAGAAATTGAAGATGTTGTTTAATTGTTGAATATATTTACAGTATGATCCACGTCAATTATTCAGTTTCGGCGGCATTTTCTCAGTTTTTCCAAAGGTCTTCTCATCAGGGCTCTATAAATAAAGAACTACGGCAGATCTGTAATATACAATGCAGCCGAACCGTGTATTACAATGCCGTTATGTGAGGACTTTCAAAGAGAAAAGCAAGAGCGCTCGGAATTAAGTATTATTTTATTCTTTTAAAATGTTTTCCGGATTTCATATCATATAAACACCAAATCCCAGCATGCATTGCGGCTAAAACATCCAATAAGCGAGCTTAAAACCATAGCTGAGGATCTTGGGTAATCGCTCGAAATGCCTACGTATGTTTCCGGTTATTTTTATTTTGAAATTCAGTTCCTGACGGACGCCAAAAAATCCAGAGATTATGGAATTAAACCAATAAATAAAAGCAAGGATAATTGTGTGTTATTGGTGAGTAAATAACAGTGTGTTATTTTGAAAAGAATAACAAATTAGAAGGAAAAAAAGATTTAAAAAATACAGATTTCAGTATTCTGAGGCTCTGAGCCCCATTTATTTTCCTCACAGACGGCAACAAAAGTCCGAAATTATACGATTTCAAATAAAAGCAATAACTGTGGCTTGATATTGAGTAAGAACATGTTTTTATGAACCACATAGCTTCCGGTCTTCCTCGACCCGACTGGAGAAAAAGACGTGCTGCAGGCAGTAGAAATACATTGCTTTTAAAATCGTGCTGTGCAACACGAAAAAAAGGGGCAAATCGTGTTGGTGAACACGAATCAATAGATTAAAAATCGTGTTGGGGAACACGAAATGCCGTGAGACTGGGTTGTGATATTGAGTATGTTGAAAAAGAAGACACCATAAACGTTGTGACTGATGAAGTTTGTTTGTGTTTCTAGCTGTTGTGCCTGTTTCAATGCAAGTGATAAAGGTGAGGGTGCAGGAACCAAACGGTGTGGATCTGAACGACCAAGCTTTTCTGGATGCGATGTTGGTGGAGGTAAATCATGTTTTCTACTTTGATGCAAAAACATCACCAGAAAGGAAATTCCCATGACATGAGAACAAGAGACGAAAGAGGTAGGAAACAAATAAATATCTATTAAAGAATAATGAATTCAACGAAAGACAATGCAGTAAATGAATTTCAATACGAATGAAATGGACCAAGATGAGCATGAATGAAATTCTATATCCATTATCCATTCAATACTTTGGCCACAAATAACAGGACCCAAGCATTTAGGAAGAAGACGTGTAAATATGTGCAGAAGTACATAGCAGAAACTTAGCCACATGCCACCAAATGCATTAGGAACATGTACAAATACTATTCCATAACCTGAGGTAAGCCTTTACACTGGAAGAAATAAGGGGAACAGCTACCATTTCAGATGAGTGAGCTAAAGAGAAATCATCTGTTTTTACTGGAACGATAATGATAATGAGTTTTTGTGTCTCAGGCGAAAAAGAACCTAAGGGCCCAGGGATTGGACGACAACGTCCAAGTGGCCTGGAGGAAGCAGCCGGATGGACAAGTCTTCCACAAGGAGGAGGAGGAGAAGAAGAAGAAGAGGGATGAGCTCTAAAGCTGAATTGCTGTGTGTGATTTTTATCAGAGAAAAGTGCATTTCTTTCCTCAAAGTCCTCGTGTTACAGAATTCAGCTGCAACAATGATCTGAATAATCAATTAGTTACGATCATTTTGATAGAAGATTGAGAATGTGATGCTTCTCCTTGTTATATATGAATTTAATATGTTTAGGGGTTTTACTATTGAATGTTTTTGCTTGGCCGGTGGGAGATAATAATACAATGTTTGGCTTAAATTACAAATAAAATAAATGATCTTTATTGAAATTTCATACAAAAATGTGTTTCTTTATTTGCCTCCTAATTATTGTTTTTTTGTCTCATAATATCTTCAAATGAGTTATGTTGAAAACAGTAACAGGCCGTGCCTTTCACACCTAGGCCTTCAGTAGTGTCCACCTGAATGAATCCACCTCCTAATAGCATTATTATGACGTCACGGCTATAGAAACCATTAAGATGAAACATTAACGCAGTATAACAGGGCGCTGCATCACAGACAGGTTTCTAATGTAGCGAGAATGAATGAATGCTAAAGCGAGACCACCGAACAACACAATTCAACAAGCCTCCTTTCACTGCTGCGCCGCACATCCTCTCTAGCAGAAGCAACAATATTTACTTAATAAAATGACAAGAAAATATCAACAATGTTAAATAAAAGTCATTATAGCCATTACTCACCAATACGTTTGATTATTTGTTCCCAAAAACCTTCCTCCTTTCTTTCTTTCTGAAGAGTTCAGTTACTGTGTTGTTCAGATTACCTGAGTGTTTCAGTTCCAATAATAAGTCCTGTTCTAACGCCATGGAGGCTGATGCTGGAAGTCGAGTCAGTTCAGTCGTATTTCTGTCAAACACATTGTGGAATATAGGAATGAACCGAGTCCTGCTTCAGATCTCTTTATACATGAACCTTCCTAAGAACAATTCCACCTCAGCCCCATCCATCATGGTGCACTTTGTAATGGAAGGTATGTCCTCTTGTTGGGGGACATTTAGAAGATTTTTGGTTAGAGATGTTTGGGATTTACTGATTTGATTTACGCTCATGTGATTGGCATAGAATGAAGGAGACATCTGATTGGCTATAGATAGAAAAAATGACAAGTACCAATCGGGTGACCGTCAGGGGAGTCTCAAAAAACCCACACACGAATGCAAAGCGATCCGTGCACAGAAAGTGGGTTGTGTTACTTTGCAGGTGCAGAGGTTTTAAACGAAAAACAAATGTGTGTGGATCAAAAATATATATGTAAAATATTTTTCTATATTTAGATTTTATTTACATGTTTATGAAACGGAACACATTTGTGTGTGCATTGAAAAACACAAGTGTGGATCCGGAAATACAAGTGTGAATCCTTCTGTGTGCATGTGTGTATTATGAGACTGTTCTGAGCCCATACGCATTCCCTACATCTGATGAACACACACACACACACACCCACACACACACACACACACACACACACACACACACACACACACACACACACACACACACACACACACACACACACACACACACACACACACACACACACACACACACACACTGTGGAGAAAGAGACGGGACGAAGCATCAATTTTTCATTCCCAGCGGGCCGAGGGGGAGAGCAGAGATGCTATAATCATACCCGAGAGAGGGGGAAGCTAAAAGGGGAGACAGGGAGCGGTCAGAGAGAGAAAGGGAGGAAGGTTGAATCCAGACGAGGATGAAATTGGAAGAAAAAAGGAAGAAAATGGGGGGGAGGGGGAACATGCAAACCACCAGAGAGGGGGAGATGAGAGTGGGAGAAAAGGACTCCCAACCATTAGAAAGAGATTTCTACTTTCTCTCTTTCCACTCGCCCCTCACCTCCATCAATCCTCAGGACTTTCAGACTCTAATGGAAGTCAAGCTGAGGATCGAGGCGTGGAGATTACAGAAAACTACAAAGACCAGACGGGCCCTGTGGAATAGTGACTTTACTCGAGGTGTGTGTTAGGCGCTAGAACATATATCGTCTCATCCAGCATCCTTTGAGGAAAGATTAAAGTCTCAATATCTGAACAGAATATGGGTACATTGAATTTAAAGAAGTTGAAACTCCTGTGGGAAAAGAGAAGATGCATGGAAGACTGACTGAAAGAGATTGTTTTGAAGATGCATGAGATACACACTAATTATATATTAAGGAAGTAAATGTACTATTTACTATTTTGCAGAAATTCAACCTAAGGAATATTTGAATTGAAACATAACACTGTATATGTATGTGGAAAGATGTTGAGTAATAATTTACCAGAACAGCGAATACATGTACCTTGACTAAAGATAGCGCTTTTATTAAAGCAGAAAGATAGAAAACAACAACAGGCACAAATGTCCTTTCAGGCAACACCAAGAAACTCAATGTGAAGACAAATTATTTTTGACCGTTACAAAAATGTAACTGCAATTACTGATTTCTACTTGAAAAGACAACAGAACCTTTATAGAGTTTATTTGGCAGATAGAGCCTGTCCAGGTGTCCTGCTGATGATAATTAGTCACGTTTTGAAAGTTTAAATGAAACTTTAGATATCCTTAATGGAATAAAGCCAACTGGAGATGGAGAAGGAGAATCATTAAACACCACAAATGTTATTTCTGTCACCTGACTGTCATCAGAAACTGCCGGAGAATACAGTGAATTAGGCCAATTTAGACCAATCTGTCATTACGCTCAAATTATAGTCATTATAATCAACCCTCTCACAGATAATAACTATGTCCTAGTGAACAGGGTTGGTTTTCTTAGTTTATTCAAATGTATTTTAGAGATATGGAGGTTTTTATCAGACTAGACGACATTCAACCAGTCAAATAAATGAAAACGGATAAGAAACACTATCGAAGAATGTGGAGAGAAGAGTCTGTGTACATCTGCAGGCTCATAAAACACACACACACACACACACACACACACACACACACACACACACATTATCACAGAAGGAAACCACAGCTGTGTGTTTTGGATTTTAAAAGCTTGACAGATATCCAACCCTTTAGAAAGAAACATCCAGTGCTTCCTCAAAATGATCTTAATTATGATTCATAATCCAAACACATTTGCATTTTACCTTCAGCTGATGCTTCTGTCAAAGCAGAAATACTCCACAACATTTCCTCCTACATGTCTGTTCCTGGTCTTCTGTCTAATGTGAGCAGCTGTACAACACAGACTGTAGAAAACAGCCTTTATCATGCATGGTCTGAACAACTCACCAGTTTGGTCCAGAGCATTGAACGCAATATAGGAACATCAACCATCCTGACCGCTACACCTCTAATGTTTATCAGTGACATTGATGAGGCTTCACTTGCGCCAGATTCAAAGATCTGAATATGGGAAGAGCTGGTGGAGCCCGGATGGAGACCAAGAACTCAGGTTATCATGGACATTGCCTTCACATTATTATTACATGTCTCTTGTTAGAAGCTTTTATCCAAAGTGACTTACATACTCAATACTGTGTGGACAATCCCCACAGGAGCAATTTGGGGTGAAGTGTCTTGCTCAGGTACACAACGATATGCTGACTGCAGTGGGGTTTGAACCTGTGACCCCCTGAACCCAACACCACCGCACTCAAGCCCGCCTTAACCTGCCATCAGGCCCTGGGGCTGATAGTTTTTGTAGGCCCCCTATTTAAACAACAAATCAAAGTCATTTATAGCCTCGGCAGGCTCTGTGATCGCACTTCTCCACTCTGCTCTACGCGCGCCTGGTCCTCTCCTCCAGATGAGTGACGTATCGGGCCTCCCTCATGTATTTGTCCGGTTGCCGTTGGCTCCCCTCCACGTAGCAAGTCCTCCCATCTCCTCCAACGGATAATGTCCCTCCTGTCTGTTTTTCCTCTCCCGCTACTCCATCGCTATCAGAACCAGGCGGCCTACTTGGCTCCAAGGCCCCGCGGCCGGCACCGCTGCCGCTCGGTACAGAACTCATCTGTCCTTCCTCCTCATCCTGGTCTACAGGTTTAAAATAATCTGTAAGCTTTGGCATGTTTTGTAATAGCTGTTTGTCTCGAAACTCCTTTTCCCTCAACAATTTCCTTTTCTGAGCGCCACTCTCAAACTTTTTCTTCTCCGACATTTTCTCCTAAACAACCTTCATCTGTCACTCAATCACTCGCAATTTGAATAAGTCACATGTGAAACATATTCTCATTCTGATTGGCTGTTAAGTTGTGCCCACTGACTGTTACAGTCATCATTTTTGAGAAAAATCTCTGAAATCCATCGATCTGATTGATTAGCGGAGCAAATGATCAAAATAGTATGGAGGGAAGATATTTGCGTTTGGATTACTGGTCTGAGGGAAGCTCACGAGTGTGTGTGTGTGTTTGTGTAATTTTGCGTTTGTGTGTATTGTGTTTGTTTCCCGGGAAAACCCTCACGAGAAACACCGGCTGTTGTTATTCCTGCTGTGACGTCAAGTTACTCCGTTCTCCGCTTGTATTTATGCCGTTACAAGCTTCAAAGTTGTATTTATCATCTGAATTTGCCGAAACAAGTTTAATATTCTGAAAGCCAAGACTTTGTTTATTTAACATTTTTTTAAAAACACCCGGAAAAAATATATATATATTTGAATTTTTTTTATTTTTTTTATTGGCTCATGATAGGACCCCGATCTCCGTAGGCCCCTGGGCTTCAGCCCAGGTCAGCCCGTGTATTAAGGCGGCCCTGACCGCACTGCGCCACACGCCTCCCTAACATACATTACTAACAATACGTAATTGTTGTTTTAATCACTTTGTGTCAGCTTTAGTATAAGCCTGATTTTTGCATGATCCTGCTTCCTTATTTTGTCTCAAGTCTCTAATGAGCATGCTAAAATGTGAGAGCATATCAGAAACACAGTGACCAAATAAACAAGCTTTCTGTAGTATAAATCTAGTTGGAGATATGTGTTTTTTTTAAGCCCCTTTACTGAGTACTACTTAAGCAACAGAAAAATAATTATGTTTATGAAATACTCTGAACTCATAAAGCTGACAGTGACTTTAATCCAGTTAAATGCACATGTTTACTCTGGAGGAGTTTGCATCCTGGCAAGATGTTTAGATACCTGCCGATAATGTACTGCTACATAAATATTGGGTTTGGTGGGAAGTCATTTGTGAAGCAACCAAAAAAAAAGGTC